TCGAAAGAAATTCCTTTTCAACCTGGTTTGGAAAGTACACAGCTCCGGTGGCTTCGTGATATCGGAAGGAAAGGGGCGTTCCAGACGGCCGCAGAAGTGCATCTGAAAAAATGTCCCTTGGCCGTGGTGGCTATACACTGCTGCACGTGGCCGCCTGTAATCCAGCAGCGTGGAGGCAGCGGCGAGGGTCGGTGGATCACCGCACAGATGCCACGCAGCAAAGCGCAGGCCGACATCAGCAGTCCCCTTCTGTAAGGGGATAGAGCGTTGCCCCCTCGCACGCGTGGGTTTTCTCCGGGTGCTCCGGCTGCCTCCCGCGTGCAAACGATAATTAATTGGCCGAAAATATCTGAATGTTTAGAAGTCCGTAGAGCTTGGGCAACTGTAGGCACCATCTCACCGCCTGGCTGTTGCCTTCCAGCTTGGGTCTGTGGTTCTTCAGCGATTGTGAGATGCAGTTTGCATGAGCAATGACGCAGTATAAACTAAACGATCGTATTATTAGTTATTTCGGTAAAGTCACGTAGAAGGGAAATAATAAAATAATATTAATATCATAATAACAAAAATATTTATATAATATTGATTTATATTAATATTATTTTATTATTTCTCTTCTACGTGACGTTACCGAAAGAACCAAGAATATGAATCCCTGCAGTCACGAAAGCTTTAAATCAAGATTGTATTATTATTATTATTGACAATCTTTGACGACGCTCAAGTACGACTGCCGCGGACATGGTAATCGGCGTATGCGAACGAGCGATCTGGATGAAAGCGGCACTTCATCCAGCAGTGGATGGACTAACCGCGTTGCCGACCGATGACGAAAACATCACTTCGGCATCGCCGAGGTTTCCGCTGCGCGCCTCGCTGCCCCCCATCACGCACTTACATAAGCGCGGTTCAACTCGCACCGTCAAGATGCGGTACCCACCAAATTAAGCATCCTAATTTCCCACAAGACCTGCCTAGGGCTCAAGTAACAGCTCTCTCAAGTTCCCTGGGCCAAGGACAGGTCGAGGGATCAAGCTCCCTCCATCCATTCTGACCCGCGCGCACCAGCCCCCCCCCCACCCACCCCTCTCTTCACACCTCAACACTGCAGCCCGCATGAGGGTTCTTGAGCCAGGCCTAGGGCAGGAGGGTTGAGGAGGCTTCCACCGTGTCCTGGCGTCCTCGGCGGTGTTGTTTATGCGACGTCATAGCCGTAGGCCAGGCATGTCCAAAGTCCGGCCCGCGGGCAGATTTCAAACGGCCCGCAGCTTCGGTCTTATAACGTGTTAGTTATGGCTCGCCAGCTCTGTCAGAATAATTACATCGTATAAAACTCATGGAAATGTAAGGTATTCTATACATCTTGTTGGTTCTTTCGGTAAAGTCACGTTGAAGGGAAGTAATAAAATAATAAAAATAAAACATAATAAAATAATTCTCACGACGTTTCGGCCACAACGCAAGCAGCCGTCCTCAGGTGAAGAACATGTCTGTCGATAAGACAGACATGTTCTTCTTAGGCTTGGAGTGTCTATTTAAGCTGTGAGGGAGGAGGAAGAGAGCCTTGACAAAAGAATTTGCATTTGAAGAGGAATTTAGCATATTAATTTTATTACTTCCCTTCTACGTGACTTTACCGAAAGAACCAAGAAGATGAATCCCTGCAGTCACGAAAGCTTTAAATCGTATTCTATACAGTTTGTTCAATGTTATCTGACTGAATGAAAGGCAGAATTGCGTTTTTAGAGTTGTTCCCGTCTGCCTGAGTGGCTTATATTTGGTTACATTGTCATTTGAAAAATAAAGGTAATTGTGACAATGAAAATTGTTTTTACAACGGTGTGTATTTCCACGTAACTTTTGTGGTTAAAACAATGTCAAAAGGAACTATTGGCCCCCGGGCATCTTCACTTCATCAAATGTGGCCCTCTTTGCAAAAAGTTTGGACACCCCTGCCGTAGGCGAATGTAATGCCACACGCACGATGACGGCCCCTGTGTAATCTTGTGCATGTCTATGGATCTGTATGGAAGGCCAAGGGTATCTAGCCTGGATACGTCTATGGGTCTACCTATATCAGTGGTTCTTAACCTGGGCTGCACGCACCCCCTGGGAGTGCGAGATGTCCTTTCTGGGGGGTGCGGGACGTTGATGTAAAATTTTAGAAGGTAAATAATCGAAAACACTGATTAAGCACGGGCACGTGAGTTCGTACTATTTTGTTTCATCGAACCCTATGGGGCCGTCCATAAATGATGTCACACACCTAGGGGGGGGGGGGGGTCAGAGATTTGTGACGATGTGTGACGAGTGGGGGGGGGGGTGAGAAATGTGACGTCACATCAAAATGCGCAACTTTAAAAAAAATATAGACAACACGTTTTACTTCATTAAATTTTTTTATTTTTATAAATGTTTCCTCCTACAACATCAGAGTGCAGCGGCACATTAAATACGCACTACAATGACAATAGTTTAAAGCGATTTGAAGCCTGTGTTTTTTTTGGGGGGGGCAAAGCTTTGTGACGTCATATTTGAATGGAGGGGATCTGACTTTTTGTGACGCTGTGTGACGATGGGGGAGGGCGGGGGGGTTCAAAAATCGTCCAAAATCGCGTGACGTAATTTATGGACGGCCCCCATGTGTTTATTAACACAAACTGTTTAACGATTGACAAAGTTGTGCAGGCTGCAGTAACGGTGAAGAACCACTGGTCTACATGGCGTAAATCTATGGGGTCTCTGCTCTATATATAAGGGTTCTGGCTCTCGATCTTTGTCGACTTCTTATTCCCGAGGGCAACTCCGTGGCTCAAGTTTCCTCCGTCCATCGCTACCCCACTCCCCTCTCTCCACCGCTCAGCGGCACCCTCCGCACGGTGACTTGGGCAGGGCGGTTGAGGTGGCCTCCCCATTTGCTTTTTCCCCAGCAAGTGCTATTTATCTTCTTGGTTCTTTCGGTAAAGTCACGTAGAATGGAAATAATAAATAATAAAAATAAAACATTATAAAATAATTTTCACGACGTTTCGGCCACAACAGCGTCTGTCAGAAAGTCTTTCCGACAGACCTGTTCTTCACCTGAGGACGGCTGCTTGCGTTGTGGCCGAAACGTCGTGAGAATTATTTTATTATGTTTTATTTTTATTATTTTATTATTTCCATTCTACGTGACTTTACCGAAAGAATCAAGAAGATGAATCCCTGCAGTCACGAAAGCTTTAAATCGAAATTTAAGTGCTATTTAGGTGACGTGCATACCCACGTGCGTTAAACTTCTTTCGCACCGCACGCAGCCGACCGTGCTGATCGGAGGTGCACGGTGTGGTTATGACGGTGGTGATGGTTTTGGCGATAGTGGAGGTGACGGTGGTGACGGTGGTGACGGTGATGGTAGCGATGTGGCGAGGGAGCCCGTGCATAGGCGGCTCTAGCAAGCGGCGTCTCTCTCCGTCAGCCCCTACCGCAACTATTGGGAGTGAAAGTGGCGAGAGAGACGCCCGTGTCGCCCCCTAACAGAAGCCAGAGCCGCCGTCGCCCCCCCCCCCCTTCAGAGAGACGCACACAGTCCCCGCCTCTCTCGCTCTCTTCCAGGGAGCCATTGCCATAATGAAGATTTAACATCATACCCAGGACTAAAGTAACAACGTTGGTGTGCAATTACATTAGATGCGAAATGAAGGAGCAACCTTTGGGTGTGAAATTTAATTGCGATCAATTTGCTTGCACCTGCAGGAGTGGATTACGTATTTGAGCTGCAACACGGCTCGAAATATGCGTCCGATAGTTTCGGGGCATGCAAAGTGATGGATACTGCTTGTATTACGAGGATGTTAGCAAACGTGGATTCAAATTGATTGCCACGCTCACGATACTGCATACGCATTGAATAGCGCACATTGAAAACTGACGATGTATCATTTATATAAATGATACGCTCACGTTACATTTGTGGTAACGGCGTGAAGTAACCCGTACAAATTAGACAGACGAGAAACCAAAATGATAAAAAAAAATATATCATAATTTTTAAATATGTGATCTAATTGCGACCCCCCAAATCGTAACAATTCTTTGCATTTCGAGGTTTGGTGTTAATTTGCTACGAGCCGAGTAAACGTACTCCAGTGAGTCCTCGTTTAACGCAATAGACGTGTTCCTGAAAAGTGCCGCGTGAAGTGAAAAAACGCGTTAGGCGAAAACAATTTTCCCACAAATAATGTGGCAAACGACAAAGTTTGGCGAGATGCGACGGACCCCTGTGCACACCACGCAGTGAGATGGCGGGACAAAGAACTGAGGGTAAGCGGCTGGGTTGCAGTATCATTCCGCGTACTGTGTCACTGCACCGCTCAGCCGCGCAGATCAAGAAAGTAGTTCGTTTTCGACCGCTCACAAACCGCGTTATAACGGGGGTGTGTTCCTCGTTATAATGGAGGGGGACATTCCACATTATAACGGAGGAGCGCTTTCCGCGTTATAACAGTGAGCGACGTTTCGCGTTATAACGGAGGGAGCGATCTCCATTATAACGAACGTCGCAATCCACGTTATAACGGAGGGAGCGATCTCCATTATAATGGACGGCGCAATCCGCGTTATAACGGAGGGAGCGATCTCAATTATAACGGAGAGCGACGTTTCGCGTTATAACGGAGGGAACGATCTCCATTATAACGGACGGCGCAATCCGCCTTATAACGGAGGGAGCGATCTCCATTATAACGGACGGTGCAATCCGCGTTATAACAGAGGGAGCGATCTCAATTATAACAGAGAGCGACGTTTCGCGTAATAACGGAGGGAACGATCTCCATTATAACGGACGGCGCAATCCGCGTTATAACGGAGGGGCGCGTTTCCGCGTTGCGTGAACGGTTTCCCCGAATGGCATAGCCACGCTATAGCGTAATCGCGTTGTGAGGAATGCACCGGGTGCGTAAAGTGAATGTACACGCACGTGCTCAATTTCCTCCTCCTCTTCCTCCTTCATGTGTCAGGAGACGGAGCCTACCAAGAGCAGTAATCAGCCCCAAGAAGACACCGCCCGCAGAGAGGCGGCGGTGGCGGGCGCGCCAAAAGCCGAGCCGTTCGATACAAACGACGTGGATGAAGAGGTCCTGGAGAGGATGGTAAGGAATATTGCACAGAATCGTCAGACTGTTTATTTTTGACTGGAGGAATCCGATGAGCTATGAAGCTGTTTTTCACACATGTTCAGTAGGGGCGGGTCAGAAGGTTACAACAACGAACAATACAAAAAACACGATAGCAGTGCAAAGTATAGGAAAGGTAAATAAATCACGTAAACAAATACAAATGTAACTAAACATACTCTTTGGGTCTTTCGGCAAAGTCACGAAGATAGGGTGAAAAAAGTACAGCAGGTGGACTGCTGGAGGACGATTGCTTGTGTTGCGATCGAAACGTCGTGATTTAAAAAAAAAATTTTTCTTTTTTGATTTAAAGCTTTCGTGACTGCAGGGAATCATCTTCTTGGTTCTTTCGGTAAAGTCACGTAGAAGGGAAGTAATAAAATAAAATAAAACATAATACAATAATTCTCACGACGTTTCGGCCACAACGCAAGCAGCCGTCCTCAGGTGAAGAATGAAACACCACCAAGCTTAGAGCGTATATTTAAGCTGGGCGCTCTTCTTCCCCCCTCCAACCCAGCTTAAATATACGCTCCAAGCTGGTGGTGTTTCATTCTTCACCTGAGGACGGCTTCTTGCATTGTGGCCGAAACGTTGTGAGAATTATTTTATTGTTTTATTTTATTATTTTATTACTTCCCTTCTACGCGACTTTATCGAAAGAACCAAGAAGAACATTTTTTCTATCTACGTGACTTTACCGAAATACCCAAATAGTATGAATTCCTGCAGTCACGAAAGCTTTAAGTCAAGAATTCAACTAAACAATTGTTTTAATCTTAGCAGGTAAATACCACTGAGCTTATTGTCTTAGCTACGCCGTGAGAACACGTTTCCAATATACTGCTGTACTAGACAGCTTCTTGGCTGTTTGCTTATTCGTTTTTGTTTGTTTGTTTTTGTCTTTGTTGATATGTACATATGTGGGGAGCGGTGGTGGAGCGGTTAGCGCATTGCGCTACGAACCTGGCGACCCGGTTTTAATTCCATGGCCAAATCAGTGGCGATTATCTGAAACGGTCCTGGGCCTCCCCTAGGTCGACTCAGCCTCAAATGAGTACCTGGTGCGGCGTGTAAACATTGCCACTGGGGAGACAAAGGCGGCCGGGCGTGGTGCTGGCCACCCACCCCCCCCCCTCGTGTGCCGTTTTGGCCTTCATAGGTGCTCGTTAACAGCACTTGCCCCAACAGTCTGTTACAGGCTATACGGGGGATCTTTGTCTTTGTGTCTTTGTGTATATGTACGTATGTGGGGAGCGGTAGCGTAATGGTAAGTGCGCTGCGCTACGAACCTGGCGACCCAAGTTGGATTCCCACTCACGACCAGCACCATTTATTATCTGAACCGGTCATGGGCCTCTCCGAGGTCGGTCTTAAATGAGTACCTCGTGTTTGTGTGTAAAGATCACCACTGGGGAGACAAAGGCGGTCGGGCGTGGTGCTGGTCACCCACCCCGTCATGTGCCGTGCCGGCCTTCATATGTGCTCGCTAGCAGCGCTTTCCCCAACAGCATGTGAAGACTACACGTGGGAATCTCTGTTTTTGTTTATACACATAGATAATAACGTCAAACATTTTCTGGTATAGCTCTCCGATGTGTTTTAGGGTTGTTATCGCCGTTATTGTTTTGCGTGAAGTCTCACGTTTGAGACACTCCACATAGCCGGGAACTGCCACAGTCACGTGGAGCGAAACGTCGGACATGAAACGTATTCGTGGGCGCAACCCGAAAGCACATCGGACCACTACGGCACGGCCGCTGAAAACCTTCGTCAGGAGCACATATTTTTCAATGTCGCAATGTTCATACCACACAACGTATTCGATAAAGCCGTCTATCTCTCTCGCTCTCTGTTATGAAACGTAACAGAGAGAGAGAGAAAGAACGATACGCCATAAGGTTGACAGAAGCTTAAAAATAATCGTATAAAAACAAGGCTCCCAAATCAAAATAAAAGTTTGGAAAGAACAACACTGCCATTCTGTAAATATTTATTGAAATGCAGTCCGTGTCATTGCTCGGTCACGCAAGGCCTCGGGCTAAGAGCAAGACTCGGAACCCTTTCGGTTTAAAATGTAAAGGTCCGGCGTCTGCCTTGGCTCACTGCATTTGTACAAAAGTGTACGAGCACTCTCCCCGTTTCTCCGCGGGACCGCGAGAGACGACGGCTGCTTGGTTGAGGCCTTCATCCAGCAGAGGATTGGTCGTTGGTGATGACCGATGACATGCGAACGACTCATATGTGCAGTGTTGTCAATCCGTACGCTGAAAAAAATATCCCTTTGTACATTTCTGTTTCAAATAATAGAACGCATGGCACGTAAATAAATGCTTGGACATGAAATTCACAAGTCGCCGGTTCGATTCGATCTGCTGGCGCGGCAGATGAAACAATGTAGAAAGTTTATGTCATCTGCCTCTCCTCGCTGCCTCCATCCACCCAGCCAGCATTGTAAACAGGCACCGACAGTAAGTCGATTGGTAGGTCGCGTGAGGTGGGTTCAAGTGTGGGTTCTCACCACCGCTTCCAAGACATCTATAGACCAGCTTGGAAGAGCAGGCCAATTGACCCTCGAGTGTGGACTCTACAGAGCTCCCTTCCGCCGGTGGTGGCACGGGCAAATTATCGCAGGGCTGCACTTTTACCTTTCGTGGCTAAACGATACGACCAATCACTCTTCATTTCAACTGCCGGCCCATTATTTTAAAAAAGAGCCTCCGTGTAATGCACGTATTCGGCATACCACGCTCGTCTGATAAAATGCCTCCGAAACGACCGCAAACTTTGATTGCCATGCGATGGCCATAATAGCATCCACACACACACACACTAAAAAAAACACAACTTCAAAGCGAGAGTTAAAAAAAACCCAATACCCAACTTATCCACTGTACATCGGAACGGAGGGAACATTTAAAAAAAATACTTCTTTCGCGCAGATTGATATGTTCTTAAGATTGAAAAAAAAAAATCTGCGGTGGTACGGCAGCAGAACTCGTCCACCGCGTGACACCGACGTGGTGGTTTGCGAGCAGCCTTTTAACCACTTACTCCCCACCCCCCTTACCCCACACCCCGTGTTCTGCCAAAGCTTGCACAGGCCACAGACTTTGAGGAGAGGAGAGGAATTCGCACGGCGATTAGAAACCTTCGAAAAAAGGCCAGAGGTAAGGTAGTTAAAAAAAATGTTGCGGTGGATATTTAAGAGGATTTGCATTTCTACGTGCGGGGAAATTCTAGGAGATCCCCCCTTGTCCACAACCCCTATAACACTCAGCTCCCATTATTATTATTATTTTCTGCGGCAGCTACACAGGGTACGAGAAAAGATTATCCGCGGACCTTTTCCTATCATCCACGGTCATCCGTAATTATTTACCCCCCCTTCCCCGCGGGATGGGTGGAGTAACGCGTCGCGAGAAGGGATGGTCAAGGGAAATTACGGTGTGACTGCCAAGGAATGGAACGCACCCGAGAGAGGGGCCACGTCCACCGGGGAGATGGAGCGATGGAATCGGCTCTTGTGCAGCAGGCGCTGTGTTGATTATTACGTACCGCGGGACCGTGAGAGATGCCGACGGTTTGGGGGGGTGAGGGGGGAGGGCTTCATCCAGCAGTGGATTGATCACGGCTGACGATGACATCGAGTAAATTCGCAGATAGCCGCGCGCGGATAATAGGATCCGTCATGTTCATCCCACACATCACAGCGGATAAGACGAGTTTCTACTGTATCACTAAAAACTATTATTTTTAAAATATGATCACTAAGCTGCATAGCTCTTTTGCAGAAGCGACCTGGCTACAAACGACAGCTTAACGAAGTGGCTTATCAAGTTCAAATCCACATCAGTAGCCAAACACTCGAAACGCGCGACGTTGATTCTCATTGTGCACGGAAACTCCGCAGGACCCGGAGACAAATCCACGCAACCACGGGAGAGAGAGACAGAGAGAGAGACACGCAAACTCCCAAATACACAGCAGGCGTCGTGGGCCAGGCTCAAACCCAGGGCCTCGTGCATACCGGGCGAGGTGGTGTAGACGCGGCACCAGCTGTGGTGTCGACTTATTCACCCAGCGAACCCACGCGCGCCCCGTCCCCGCTTCACCGTGGACGCGACGGATCCCCGTGACGTTATTGAAACAAACAACAACAACAACAACACAAACAGCAGCCCATTGTGTGTCGGCGTCACCGTCCCAAGTTGGCACATTTGATCAATTACTCGCAAATCGCTTAATTGGGGGAAGCTCCCCTCCCCGCTACATAGCGACAACAACGACCTTCCCCCATCGCTCGCAGCCCTTCGCCCCCCCTCCCCGAACGGCAGATTCAATGTCCATTGTCGCGCCGATGCTGCTGCTTACACCTTGTGCTGAATAGGCACAGATGTCACTGGGGGGGGGGGGTGGGGGGGTGGTGCCCTTGGCTGGAACTGCAGCAGTGGGGCCTCGGAATGACCGAGGATGAGATGCGAGTTGGGGGCGCTGTCGAGTTTGCCGAGGCGTTTAGGAAGACGCCCTTTAAAATACACGTCCCTGAATCCGGTGACCTTTAACCGCACGACAAAAAAAAGAAATGCAATTCTTGAATTTGAATGAAGGTAACGAGATGCCGCTGGCAGATGGGTAATGATTTACATTTTAAAATGCAGGTGTGCAGGGAAGTGTCTCGACGGATGACACTCTGTATGAGGAAAGTGTCGCCGAAGGTACCACGAGTGTGTGAAGTTGGCGTGCCTGAAGCATTAACAGACGGCCACTGCAAGATGTTTCCGTCAATTAATATCACCGGGATCAGTCGTGCGCTAACATAGAGTTGTGTCGAACGTAACAACAACGACGACGACAACAGCTACTACAAGAAACAACGACAGCAAAAAATGATTAAATCTCACTTACTACGGAATAACAAGTATTGTTTCTACACGACTGTGAATAAATTGTTAGCTTATTAACACGCGTTTGTGTCGTGTAACATCCCTAACGCAGATGCCGTGACACAACGATCGTTACTAACCAAGGGTGCAACTGGACGCCCAATGGGTTTGACTAAACGACACGAGTGTGGGTTCAACGCTTAGCGGATCGTGTTAGGAAGTTGTTTTACACCACGTCTCTCACTGACACTGCCTTGCAAAATGAAATATACACGCTGCCTCTGTGTAAGCCTGCAATATGTTTGTAATCATTTCGGCGGCTGTTGGCCCCTGCCGCCTCGACTTGGCTTTGGCGTCAAGATCCACAGGAGGCAAACACCGCGGCTTCACTGTTGATGAGCTTCCTTTATTTTTATATAAACAGTACACAACCGCGTTATGCGTTATTGTTGTTGTTGCTGCTGCTGCGGTGAATTGTTGAGTCATAGCATACGCAGCTGCGTTCTGCGTCCCTTCAAATGAAAACAAACGTTTGCTCCGTCGTTCCGACTCGATTACCAGGCCAACATCACCCAGCAGCATTTTTTGTTTCAAACATGCGAATTCTGGACCGGTTTGAACCTCCTGTGTCTCGTCAACAGTCAGGCTTTGTTTAACAAATGCTGCCGGGTTGTCAGATGTTATTGGCAAGAGCGCACCGCCAAGACGATAACAGGGTCCCGGAGTGACAATTTTGCTTGAATCGCCAACGCGAGCGAATTTATTGTGTATAAGTGCCATTGCTTGGAACGTTGGCCTATTACATACACGTGTATATTTCTCGAACAAAGCAGTGTTCAATGCAAGGAGCGTTAACTAAACATGATGCGTGGACACGGCATCAGAGGTCAATAAACCCACCATCATCATTACTTACCATGATGTTGTACTGTAGTGAGCTCCCATTATCAAGATCGTGGGGGAGGAGGGGGGTGGTGGTGCAGTGGTCAGCGCACTGCGCTATCAACCCCGGCGAGTAATTTGTGAACCGGTCCTCGACCAACCGCCCCCAAACCCACTCCACACTTCAACAAGCCGCGCTGACCTTGCGTGGTGAAATATAGTCAAACGATCCCCATGACTGACAGCGCATTGGAGGTATGCCTTCATACAATAGCCGATTAACTTTTGTCAATTCAAGAAACGTACGATCTGTTATCAATTGGAACTTCTAAAGTGCTATTTGGTGATGACCATTTTGCAGTTTTTTGACCTCTGGTCCCGTGCTCGGTAATTGCGGTATATAAATTAAAAAGTGCCATATATTACCCGTCATTATGAAGAAAATAACACCGTGCCATTGTGTCGGCCGTACTGAAACGAACAGAACAGAGGGAGAGCGTCCATGAGAGCAAATCCACAGACAGCAGCCGCGGTCAGCAGAAGGGCATCGTTGTGGAGCAGCTCGCGACCGCTGGGGACAAGGGCTTCAGCAAAACGGAAAAAGTGATCTTCGGCGATTCCACAAGATCGGTCAAGGTCGTTCAGAAAACCATTTCCACAGGTGACGTTGAAAACAATAAGTATAACCCGTTAAAACAAAGTTTTTCACTATAAATCCTTTATATGCGTGGCGGCTAGAGTCCTCTCGTCCTCTGGCTTGAGATGGCTGCCACCTATGGGTCAGATGATTGTCTGCCAGTATTAAGCAATTGGTAATTAAATATTTAATTTGTTTTCCCTAAACAGTGTAAAATTTTTGAAAAAATGTTTCACGAACATTAATTGTTTCGCACAACGAATCTGTGTGCAAAATGTCAGCTCGATTGGATCACGGGAAGTGGGTTAAAAAAACGACCGAAAGATTTGCACGGTCGTAAGCAAGCAAGCAAGCACGCAAGCACGTAAGCAAGCAAGCAAGCGAACTTAATATAAAGGATTTAAAAAGAGACAAAATCACGGCGTTTTCTATTGCCCGACGGACAATATTGGAAGCATCCGCGCCTGTGAGTTGATGAAAACTTTTCGATTGACGGCGGGCACAAGTTTTTTGTTTCGGTTGCTTTGGCTGTTCTCGCCATTTACTGATGATAATTATTGTTACCATCGGGCAAATGTTGATGGGTGGCCCCATTGTGGGGATGCAGTGTCTCTGCATATGTACGTTCTGTCGCACTGTACGCATGCAACCGTGCTAATTGGAGGTGCTGGAGGAAGGACAGCAAACTAATCACAAAACGCAGTTCTAAAGACATTATTCTTTAACCAGTGGCTTCCTAATATCGGAAGGAAGAGCGTTCCAGACAGCCACAGAAGCGCACCTGAAAGTGCGCGCGCGATGCAATGACCGTCTTTGTTCGACGGCTGGCCAAAAGTCATGCGAGGATAAGTTTAGCGGAGGCAAACTTGGCAGCGGATGCGACATGTCGACAGTTGTCCATGTCTCACTGCTGCCTCACACTTGTTCAATGCAATGGACGTTGACCTTAGACAATATGACCACAATGCATCGCTTCGGGAAACGGTGGTTTTCGCACAGGGCGAGATTTTTTTCGACGCACGCACACCGCACGCTGCACATTTGTGCCCGTTGAAACATTTCTAGCGCCAAAGCTGAACCCATTTTGGTACCGTCACGTGGCTATGAACATCACATGATGACGACGCTACCTAAATAATGATATCGCCCGGGGTGTGAAATAATTAACGCTATAAACCAATTACCATGGTAATATTTTGAATAGTGAACGATGAGCGCATTTTTTTTAATGTTTCGTGGAGATGCGAGTTTTATTTGGTGCTCTATTTTTCTTAAACCATATAACTTATGTAGATGTTTAGAGCGCTTTATTTCTGAGGCGCTTTACAACAATTATAAAATTGTACACAAGATGAACGTGGTTGAGATAAAGAGTAGGGGCTATTAAAAAAGTGGTGTAGTTATGGTGACATGAGAACACACGGGAGTGGTGAAGGAGAGGTTGGGGTAGTGATAGGGGTTGGGGTAGTGATAGGGGTTGGGGTAGTGATAGGAGTTGGGGTAGTGATAGGGGTTGGGGTAGTGATAGGGGTAGTGATAGGGGTAGTGATAGGGGTTGGGGTAGTGATAGGGGTTGTGATAGGGGTTGGGGTAGTGATAGGGGTAGTGATAGGGGTAGTGATAGCGGTTGGGGTAGTGATAGGGGTGATAGGGGTCGTGATAGGGGTGGTGATAGGGGTTGGGGTAGTGATAGGGGTTGGGGTAGTGATAGGGGTAGTGATAGGGGTAGTGATAGCGGTTTGGGTAGTGATAGGGGTCGTGATAGGGGTGGTGATAGGGGTTGGGGTAGTGATAGGGGTTGGGGTAGTCATATGGGTGGTGATAGGTGTTGGGGTAGTTATAGGGGTAGTGATAGGGGTAGTGATAGCGGTTGGGGCAGGCCTGGTCGTAACTGGGGGGCAGGGCCAGGGAGTAGCAGTAGGACGCGCTAGGGGAGAAGAGATTGGGATTGTTTTAAGGGAGGAATGGAAGCTGCAGATTATAGAGAAGGTGATTGTTTCCCGTGCAATGAGAGTTTGTTCCAGTGACGGGGAGCAAGAAAGGAAATAAAGGAAAGCGTAACTGGGCACAGGGCGAGGGAGACCCCTTGAGCTACTTAGGGGCCCGCCAAAACGTCGCTTGGTTTTCTCGCGACCTTGCACGGCCACCACCGCAAATCGAATACGGGGAAGCCGTTTCCAGCGTCACTTTTTCCCCACCATCACACTCGTGAAGAAGAATACGATCAACGGCAACGCGTTTGCGCATCCTGCAATGGCCGCACATGCGGCACGGGCTAATGGCCGTGACGGAGGAGACGGCGACTCTGCATGTTGTTGCTGAATGCTCACGATTGTGTTGTGTTTTTGCTGCTGTTCAGGCAACACGATGAAAAAGTCTATACTCTCGACGGTGGAGTCCAACTATTCGGGAATCAATGAAAGTAAGTAAAAAATTAACCCGTAAAAACAAAGTTTTTCACTATAAATCCTTTATATGCGTGGCGGCTAGAATCCTCTCGTCCTCTGGCTTGAGATGGCTGCCACCTATGGGTCAGATGATTGCCTGCCACCATTAAGTAATTGGTAATTAAATATAAAAAAAAAATTCCCAAAATGTTGAAAATTTTTGAAAAATTTTTTCACGAAAATAAATTGTCACGCACAACGAGTCTGTGCGCAAAATGTCAGCTCGATTGGATCACGGGAAGTGGGTTAAAAAACAACCGAAAGATTTGCACGGTCGTAAGCGCGCAAGCAAGCAAGCAAGCGAACTTAATATAAAGGATTTAAAAATAGACGAACCGTGGCTTGTACAGCATTTAACGCACGCAAACGAACCGTCACCGAAGTGAGCTCATTCTTTTTTAGAGATGCATTGCTTTTTGAGCGCACGCGTGCTTTTGTTCCCTTTACCCCAGACACAATTGCGAGGACCTCCAACAAATCGGTGACGTTCAGCACCGCGAGCATCTTGAACATTCCAGCGACGAGGTGAGCGTAGCAACCCCCCCCCCCCCCCCAGTGCTATCCGTTGCGAAGCGAAGGCCCGTTAATTATAACCTATACAACTATTTGTTTTATTTTAACCAGGTAAGGCCCCACTGAGCTATGTAGCTCTTTATCAGAAGCGACCTGGCCACAAATGATAGCTCAACGAAGTGGCTTAGCATGCGGAAATGTATCGCGGCCGAATACTCTAAAAGCGTGTCTATAAATGTGGAGAGAAAAACCGGAGGACCCGGAGAAAAATGCACACGACCACGGGGAGAGAGAGCATCGAAACTCCAAATATGCAGGCGTCAGGGTCGGGATCGAACCTACGACCTCCTGCATACCAGGCGAGGTAGTCGACATCTCACCACTGTCGCACGGGAGATTCGTGGCCGGGGGAGGGAATGTGTCGTTAAGTTAAAGCTACAGGGTTCTAATGCAGCTATAAAATCATATTTTTTGTGTTCCTGTTTAACACGTAGTAAGCTTTCGCGACCAATATCATCCGTAATAGAGGTTTTTGGGGTTAGATCGCGTAAATGTATAAATGTGTCGATAAATTCGCCACCACCCGACACAGCCAACTAGTAAGGGTTGTCACGTAAACAGAACGTGGCCAATTCGTCACTAGTACAGCACTAGTGTGTAGTGTAGTGTATAGTAGTGTAGTGTATAGCAGTGTAGTGTATAGTGTAGTGTATAGTAGTGTAGTGTATAGCAGTGTAGTGTATAGTGTAGTGTATAGTGTAGTGTATAGTGTAGTGTGTAGTGTAGTGTATAGTGTAGTGTACTAGTACAGCACACCGATGTGTTGGAGAGCCAAGCCACGACATTTACAATCTGAGTACGACGTTTCGCCAGTAATTACAACCAGCTTCATCAGGCGACAGCCAGATTTGTTTTCCTCCCTGAAATCTAATATTCATCTGCGCACATGGCACGGCCGAACCGACGGACTCTTCCGTAACACATCCACGGCAGACGATCGGCACGGCTGGGCTACGTACGGCGCAAAAGAAGTCCAACATACATAGTTCAACATGCATCCACTCTAGATTTTAAGCTTTCGTGACTGCAAGGATTCATATTCTTAGATTTTTTTCGGTAAAGTCACGTAGGTAAAAAATTCAAATTAATAAAAGTAAAATAAAAATAAAATAAAAATCACGACGTTTCGGAGGCAACACAAGCTTCCGTCTTCAGGTGGAACCGTCACAGCACGATTGTTGTATCTTGATACAGCAATCTTGATGCAGCAATCGTGCTGTGACCGTTCCACCTGAAGACGGAAGCTTGTGTTGCCTCCGAAACGTCGTAATTTTTATTTTATTTTTATTTTACTTCTATTAATTTTAATTGTAATTTTTTACCTACGTGACTTTACCGAACAAACCTAAGAATATGTATCCACTCGATTTGACGGCACGGTTGGTCCCCACCGCTGTTCATCACTCAGCCGTGGCAGCAGTGTCTTGTCCCTCTCTCTTTGCATTAACAAAGCAAGGACGGAGGGAGGGGGGTCACTGAGTGTTGGGGTGTCAATCAATAAATTCTCCTGCAGATCAGTTGTCTTTTCCTTCAATTATTCTTTAACATTGCTGGATGGGGAGGGTGGGGGGGTAGGCACAGGGGGAGAGGGGAGGGAGTGGCGCGGGGGCGGGGGGGGCAAGCACCATGCTGAATTGTGGAACACGTTAAGGCAGCAATATATCGGATTATCTCACGTTGATGAAACTATTCGTCTTGGAAAGTTCTATGTGGACTTTTCGCCCGGCTTTCGTACGGCATTAGCGCCGCGTAGTTTCTCGTCTCGGCACGAATGTTTACGCCGCGTCTACCGCCTTTGTATTCACCTGCAGGGGGCATGCGGTGCGGGGATGAATTCAATTGCAGAAAGACTTCCTTCCCCGCGAAAGGACTCGCCGAGTCTCAAGTGACTTTTTTCGGGAGGGCCGGCCCTGCCACATTGGGATTTTGAACCAACGCCATAAACCAGAGTTTGACCTCAGATGGAGGAAGTGCGGATGACTTGGGGAATATCCATTAGACGTAGCAGGGGGTAACGCTTGAAGCACAGCACATATGGATTTAAGAATGTGTTGCTGTACTGCCATCTCATGACAACCTCGCAGGCAAAGACGTCGTGACACCCCGGGGTGTAAAGATGCAAATATTAATGGGGACTGTACCAGTGCTTCTCACATTATCGATACGTGCATCAAATCGTACATGTTGAGAATCCATTAATTTACAATTCACATGTGAATCCTGATTTGAAGCTTTCGTGACTACAAGAATCAATACACTTTGGTTCTTTCGGTAAATTAACGTAGGTCGAAAAAATAACAGATCACGACGCTTCGATCGCCACACACAAGCAATCGTCTTCAGGTGGGAGAGACAGTTGCTTGTGTGGCGATGGCAAGGTCGTGATCGATTATTGTTTCTACCTACGTGACTTTACCGAAAGAACCAAAGCGTAATTCGCACATGCTGTACGTGATTAGTTCACACGATCCCTGCAGCCACTGGAGGTGCTGCAGTGCACTACAAATGGCGAGAAGGAAATCGTCGATTGCATCGATCGCGACCCAGAATTTCATCGCGATGGGGCACGCATTGTCACGAGGCCTATGGCATTCCCAGGCAGTTCCTCCATCCAAGTATTAACCGGGCTTAAAAAATTCCTCCTTAGCTTCCACGATCCGAGGAGCTTTTTCATCCGTAGCTCTTGTGGGCCTCCTTATCCACTCGAGGTGAGCCCCTGCGGCTAATTGCCCTCCAAACTTCAAACTCATTACCACGTGCCTGAGACCGCCGAGACAAAGTGTCTTCTCTTCAGGGCGCTAATTAAGGCGGGGGGCGGGGAGGGTGGGGGTGGACAGCGCCAATTACAGAACGGACTCAATAAGGCGGCGCTGGACGTGGCTAACTGCCGGTTGTGTAAATCTTGCACGAAAAGTGAGGAGCCGGTATCGACTGGAGGGGTCGCCAGAGGCTACCGTGACATTAAAAGCCTCTGCGGGAAGACCGCTTTTAACTCTTGCTGCAGCCGATGCCGCGAGCGCACGGCGCGCAACGCCAACTGCCGCGATGAACCGGCGTTCTTGTACGTGCCAATGTGCGTACGTTGAACTTCTTTCGCGCCGCACGTAGCCAACCGTACTCATCGAAGGTGCGGCGGAACTACAGCAAACGCAACACAAAGTGCAGCTCGCGAGAAATGAGTTCTTCAATCTGGATTTAAAAGTGCATAGCTCCAGTGGCCTCCTAATATTGGAAGGAAGAGCGTTCCAGACGGCCGCAAAAGCGCAAGTGAAACCGCGCGAAAGCCACCGCTGCTGCAAGGATGACTACCGGAGTTCGCGTGATGATGGTTTATGCCTCTTGACGAAATCAGCGAGGTATTGCGATTCATTTGTGGCGAGCACTTTATGTGTGTGTCATGAAACAAACACGTGAAGAGTCAACGCAATCGCCTGTAGCACCCCGCCCTATAACAGGAAACGGTAGCTAGACAACAGGCGACGTTTCGGGGCAATTGCCACCGTTCACAGCAGAGAGAGTGACGCTACGCTATGAAAAAGGCCCACTGCTATGAATCATCACGAGTACTTTTAGGATCCGCGCCATTCTTATGGACGTACGTATGGACGTTGAACTGCTTTTGCACAAGCACGTAGCCAAGCGTGCTAACCGGAGGTGCGGTAGGAGGCGATGTTGCCACGTGGAGGCCCAATCGAGTAACCTTCGGGGCACGTTTTCAAATTTGGCAATTGTGGACCACGACGAGAATGGGTCATTGCAACGAAACGAACGCCCGTGAGAATATTCTTTGACCGCTTAGGTGCGGTGTTACCGATGAATGTGTTCACACCTGAAATACAGTAGATACATGGTGCTTTTAAACAATGTTCACACTTCTGAGAATTTGCAACAATGCCACAAGCAATGTGCCTCCGGGCTCTGGAGAAGATTCAAGGTGTTTGTTGACAATGATGGCGAACAAGTGAAGACTCTTTGACTTTTTGAAGCAATTAACGTTACATTTGTTGACATGTTACAGTGTATTATCCACTCTTTTTCCATTAAAAAGGATAGTCGCATATAGGTGTTAATTTTTTTTAAGCACCCTGTATATATAAAGCACAGTTATGATATGAGCAATGCATGCTTTCGATACACAGGTGTGGGGTAAAGGCAGTTGTCGATTACTTATGCACGTGAACTCTTCGGATGTTAAAGCGCACGTGGCCTTACTCCCAAGGGGAGGTGCTCTACCCATCTTTATACCGTATATTCAAGTGACATTAAATTGTCTTCGCAAAGACGCTTCCTCTTATATTAATTCGGAAGGAAAAAAAAGCGGTGCAATTAGCACGCAGCATACAAACTTCACGGAGGCCAATAGGAAGCATGCAAGCAATGTTTGCTTAATTTGACCGAAAAAAATGCAACACATTTTTATAAAGCAAGCAGAAACGTGTAAGCGGCCTTACCCAAAAATAAATGCCGCCTGCGTAAGACTTTGCACCTTGAGCCGAGAAACGGAGAGAACGCCATCAAAAGCAGTGTCACGCCTTTTTCGTTTCTTGTCCGTCCTTTTGAGCGCGTGCGTGCGTGCGTGCGCGGAGCGGTAGTGCAACGGTTAGCGCACTGCGCTACGATACCCGGCGACCCGAGTTCGATTGCCGCTCACGGCCACCAACACCAGTCAGTGTCGGATTATCCTCGTGACAAAAGTAGCTACACGTGTAGTAGCTACGGGCCCCGCACTTTAAAGGCCCCGCGCTAGATGCTTTCAAGCTATCAATTCCGGTTCAGTAATTCTGCACTTGCTCTATTACTATAGTACTATACTGCCTTCAACTTCTATGAACGACTGGGTGTTTAAGGTTAACGATTTGTCGTATTATCTGGTTGTATGGCAAATGAAAAAATACTGTACAATTACTTTACTCCGCAAGTAAAACATTTAATATTTGTGTTTTTTATGTAGGGCCCCTTGAAACATATGCACCAGGCCTCGTACGAGTTTATTTCGGCACTGACACCAGTGACGATTATCTGAACCGGTCCTGGGCCTCCCTTAGGTCGACTCGGCCTCAAATGAGCACCCGGTGCGGTGTGTAAACATCGCCACTCGGGAGACGAAGGCGGCCGGGTGTGATGTTGGCCACCGAGCCCCTCGTGTGCCGTTCTGGCCTTCATAGGTGCTACTCGCTAACATCACTCGCCCCAACAGTCTGTTCGGGCTATACGGGGGATCTCAGTTTCTGTTTCGCGCGCGCGCGTGCGTTTTTGCGGACGTTGCTCATTCGGCCGTCGCGTTCCATCCCCTCTGCCTTGGCACCAGCGGGGAGGGCGGCGGCTCTCACACGACGCCGCCTACCTCCTTCAAGACCCCCCCCGGGAGCCAGGAGAGGCAGATGGGGGGCCGCTTGGAGCTCACGAGGTCCCAGTCGCTGCCCCGCACGCCCACCACCCAGTCTCGAAAAGGGCTCTTCCAGAAACTGGAGCAAGACGCCAGCTGGTGAGCGAGAGAGAGAGCATCGTTCTGAATATTTGCTGGCTAAAAGACCTCCCCTGTTAGGACCCTCCTCCCCCCTCAACTCGAGAGTGGTATGAAGCCCGAACGATTCCGTCTCATTAGGAGAAGCAGGGCGTTCCACAGCTTGGGAGCTACACTGGCAAGGTGGAGCATGTGATGGTGACACCCTCACTCACCGTCACATTTCCACCGTATTCTGCCTTACCTACCCCTGCAACATCAGCTCCATTCCCTGCGCCCCTGTCCCTCCGTCCATTCCATCACCTCCCTCACTGAACGCCGTCGGATTGCATCTTAAAGTGCCCTGGAAAGGGCGCTTTATAAATGCGAAATACAATCAAATAGAGCACAGAGTTGGCTTTCTCACTCCCCTGCTTGCGAAATGGCCTTCACTTCAGAGAGCCCCTTTACGAGGGTGTTAAGGTCTACTCTTTCACGCTGGCCAGACGCTTTGTAAAGAGGTCCGGCATTTATTTAATGTTTAAAACGAGAGCCTGCCAATATACGAAAGCTAACCTGATTCCACGTCCCTGAAACCATAGCCTTAATTGGTTGAGTTAACGGAGAGAGAGAGAAAAATAATAATTATGGGGCATGAAAAAAAACCGAGGAACGTTACACGTGTACCCGAACCTGGCATAAACAGGGGGGGGGGCACAGCGTCGGAATCCAGAGCTGGTTCTGCTCCTTAAATGGGCGCAAAAAAAAACCCCTCCAAATGAATACCGCGTCTCCTGAACGGCGCCTGTGTATACAGCCGTAAAGCACGACTTGGCTTTCGCGCGTGAAGCCAGAGAAGGCCCGCTTCAAGGCATTATTCCATTCGTTTGACCTTTTCTTTCTCACCCCCCACCACCCCGTCCCTACCACCACCCCCGTCCCCTCCCTGCCTGTCTCTGCATGCGCGCGCGCTCGTGCCTGTGTGCGCGCGTGTCTGCGTGTGCGCGCGCGCGCGTGTCTGTGCGCGTGTGTGTTTTTTTCTTCGGTCCCCAGGCAATCGGCCTTAAAGGAGAAGAATGCCGCAGTCAACAGCGGCGGCGGGGTCCCGGCCGGCTGCAAGGCGCCACTGCAACGATCGGCGAGCGCCTCCCTGCCCGACGCCACCACCATCAAACAGACCATCCTCGACTGGGTCAGGTCAAAGACCGACAGATACGAGGCGAGGACACGGCCGCGAGATTCGGCAGACGCCAAACCGCTGCGCGCTAACCGCGGACGTGTGTTTGCCCAGTGCCAGAGGTTAAGCCGGCCGCAGTGATCTGTGGCGGACGAGTTAGGAGAACCCTCCCCCCCCCACCCTCCTCCACCCATCACCTCCCCACCTCCCCCGGGGCTGAAAGGATATATCGGCTAACCCCACCTTCCACCTCCTTTCCTCCCTCTGAATTGAACTTGACGGCCCCCCACCGTCTGCGCCCTCCCCCCCCCCCTTTCTTCTTCTTGAAATCAGTCGTTGCGGGGAATGTTCTAATGCTTTTTTGAGAGATTTTCGGAAAAAGTGGAGTGCTGCTTGAGCTGCTAACGAATGGTCGCCGTGGCTGAAGGTCCAGCAGCAAAGTTGTTGTTGCAGAACGAAATCACAGTCCTTTATCAATTAACTAAACAATTTTTTTAACCAAATTTCACTGAGCTCGAAAGCGCTTTTCAGAAGCGACATGGCCACAACGGATAGCTCAACGAAGTGGCTTATCATGTGGGAAATGTACAGCAGCTGCCGAATACTCTATACCAGTGATTCTTAACCTTTACTGCAGCCTTGCACCCCTTTGGTTCCCAATCGTAACAAAACATATTTCGTTAATACATACACAGGTTTGATTAAACAAAGTAGTTGTACGTACGTGCCCGTGCTTAGTTTATCTTTCGATTATTTACCTTCTACAAAAAGTCTAGCCACGTCTCGCACTCCACGGGGGTGCGTGCACCCCAGGTTAAGAACCACCGCTCCAAACGCATATGCTGGATGAAAACTCACCTCCCCCATGCCACTCCCTCACCCCCAACGCTCCCCGCCCTTAAACTGAAGCAATTTGAGCCATAGGGGTTGTTTTTGGGCATACTTCACCAAGGTTTGTTGAAGGGGGGCACAGGATCGCTTTGGATATCACTCGCTACTGACATTAACCATCACCGGGGTCAGATTGCTGGGTTCATCGTGCGCGGTATGCTAACCAATGCACCACCGCTCCCGTCCATACAGTATGCGGCACCTACAGCATTCACAGCCCTTTGCACGGTGGCATTTGCATGCTGAATAGGTCATGGTGGTTATTTGACCATACTTCACCATGCCAGTCAAGGCGGGGCAAATAGAGCCCGGGTGCATAAAAGTGCAGGATAACAATTTAATATCGCCGCGCCGTCCTTCCGCTGCGCGTTTAACGCAACCCCCGCGGCTTCTAACGCCCGTGATGCATGGTGGTCGCGGATCCGAGATTCGTTTGGCATTCGGTATAAATCAGTCTCGAGTAGGAATCGTCCACAGTGACGGGGGCTCCGTTTTCAGCGCGGTCTGTCCGTCTGCCCGGGCCGGCGACCCGGCGAATATTTCCACACCGGGCACAGCACGCCGCGCCCGATGCGCGTCTCTCGAGGGCACCGGTGACTATTCGTGCACTGCCTCCCAAGGCCGCACCATCTACGCTGAAAATATTCCGTGAGACGTTGACAGCCTGAGCCGTGTGGATGAGTGACAGCCAGCCACCACCCCCCCCCCCACCACTCTTCTCCCACAACTTTGTAAACAGAAGACCCCCTCGTAGTCGCCGGTGGGCGCTGAATAAGAATCTGCGGTCGCTTAGTCGACGTCCTTTGACAATACGACGAACCCCTTTGAAGAAGAGAGACGCGCATCTGTCAACAGGGCAAATCATTCGGGAGCTACGCCTGGAAGACGACTGGCCGACCGATCCGAGAGCCGTGGTGGGCACAGTGGGCGTTGACCGCGCGAGACTTTGAATGGAGCTGCACCGACTGTGGACTGTAGCGATCGTCGCAGCGTGTTGACAACGCCTTATACTTATACCTTAGGTTTTTTCGGTAAAGTCACGTAGGTAAAAAAATTTAAATTAATAAAAGTATCAAGTGATACAGCTATCGTGCTGTGACGGTTCCACCTGAAGACGGAAGCTTGTGTTGCCTCCGAAACGTCGTGATTTTTATTTTATTTTTATTTTACTTTTATTAATTTTAATTTTTTACCTACGTGACTTTACCGAAAAAAAATCTAGAATTAACGCCTTATACGTTGCAACAAGTTCTTCCCGGGTTCTCTGGGAATAGTTCCACGGAGACCTTCACCTCCACCCACCGTTGTTCTAGAGCAGCGGTCGGGAACCTATGGCTCGCGAGCCATATATGGCTCTTCCAGTGACGGCATATGGCTCCCAGACAATTTTGAGTTGAAAAAAATAATATTAATAAAAAAAGAAAAAATCAGTTTGGAACTGATTTTAAAATACTTGTGATATTGTTTCATACTACGGTGTCATTTTAAAGTAAACAGAAATTAGTTTTGAAGATAAATTTCACGGGTCACGCCTGCACGAAGCTCAACCTCACCACGTATGAACCAGACTACACAAGGCCATCAGCAAAACCATGCAGCACCAGAAGTCGCATTAAAAGTAAGACATATTTAATTTATTATACGTTAAAAATACTATATGGCTCTCAATGAAATATATTTAGAAATATTTGGCTTTTATGGCTCTCCCAGTCAAAAAGGTTCCCGACCCCTGTTCTAGAGCACCCCTTCACCTCTGACCAGGGCTTAATCTGAGCTGGAGTTGTCCGTGGCTGAGCTCTGAAACCAACGTATTTCCTCACCCACCGCCCCCACCAGCACCACTCTCTGTTGTAGAGTGGCAAGACCAAGAGAGTATTCCATGAGAAATTACATTTCCAGAAGATCTGCCCAGTCCAGATCTTTTGCCTTCTTTGAATTGTTACAAATATAATTCTCTTATACGACTGCTGCGTATGCTTTCGCGGTTGCGCTGTATGGCACTCCGATGCGAGCTAGACTTCCCTCTGCCTGAACACACAAGCACCCGCGTGTTACTCTTATATTTCCATACAGCTTATTTTCTATAGTTGATGCTGCACCCACATCTCAGAACTTTTCAGTTTTCCAATGTCTTCCATCTGAAGGTGTCCACTTCTGCCGAATACAACACTAAACTCCACAGATTAAGATAATTGTTTTTTTACCCTTCTATTTGGCAACAAAACTGACACCTTTTTTACAAGGAGTCATGTTTGCATAGACCAAAATACCTGCAGTCGTAATGCAAACAAAAAAACATAACTCTGATAATGTATGCACTGTCCTTGAAGTTGATTGGTCCACACCCGAGACAGCTTTCCTTAGAGCCTAGTCTCACATGGTGTTGGACCAGATGATGCCAAAAGGCGCACAACTCAAAGACAATGCACCATCAGAATAATTCAAGAGTTTTCCATTGCTGTAACTGCCACCTCCTGGGGTCCAAATCACGGCTCAGGCTGGTATTTTCAGTCGGTCACCCCATCCAAGTACGAACCAGGCTCACGGCTGCTTAAGCTTCGGAAACTGTGGACTTTTTTAAACATTTGAATCCATCCGGCCAAGCGAGTTGGCCAAACGTGCCGTCCAAGAATGGTCTCCTTTCTAAGCCCTCTTTTCCCAGCATAGCAAAGCAAGGGCATCAACATGGGACAATGTTACTGCCAGACCACCCGGAATACTTCTCTTTCAGCCATTAGCAACAAGCCACCTTGCCTCCTAGTTTATACGAGCGTGGGTTTTCTTTTTAAAGCAAGCACAAGACTTTACAAGCAAACACATATTTACGTAAAAAAAACCCATATCCCATCTGTGTAAATAAACAAGAAAGCAGTGATGATCGTAACTTAGTTTTATGAAGCAACATTGAATATGTAATCATTTCTATTTTGTAGTGCTCATCGCGCAGACATGCCTCGAAAATAATGGCATGTTTACCGGGTCATTTAATTACAAATGTAAAGAAAAACACGTTACCGTGTCATGATCGGTTTGCATCCACGGATGGAGTTGCGAGCGTAGTTTTAGTTTTGAACTGCTGTGGTTAATTAGATCGACGTTCTGCATTTCCCCATGCATGTGAAATAAAGAAAAATGTAGTCATTCAAAGCCCTTTGTCAATCCACTGCTGGAAGAAGGAATCTCCACACACACTGTGTCAGCCACTCGAGGGACTTAGTTATTAAGTTCGGTGAAAATATCTTGCAGCCATTGATACATGAGATTTCCCAATGGATTGTTTGATTAAAACAGGGTTCTCAATTGTAGAGAGGGGATGTGTTTGGCCCGAACACCAATGAATGTAGAGAAAACATCACAATAAATTGGCTTTTTCATTTAGGTTCAATTCTATATACAGGCAGTCCCCAGGTTATGGAATACCCGACTTACGGAAATCCAATTTTACGGAAATGGTCCCATGAATCATGTTAAACAAAAAATCAGTATGCGTTAATTACGTAAGCGCAAAATAGTGCAGTGTGGTGAGGTTGTGGATGAATACCGCGGAGTGAGGCATAAAGTGGGTTGCCTTACGCATCAGTTTCCGACATATGGAAAATTCGGGTTACGGATCATTCTCAGAAACCTAAACCTTCCATAACCTGGGGATTGCCAGTACAGAGCTGAACAGCACAACCGCGGAAAAAACCGCAAGTGGACTTACTACTTCATAAAAATTATGCTATCTTTCTACAGGATCAAATGTGAAACGAGTGGCTATAAGGACTGATGCTATTAATTGGTCCAGATAATTCTGAATAAAAATTGTATTCTTGAAGTTGTGAATGGTTAATATCTAACTTACGGTTAATGCATACCTGTTGAAGAAGCCAAGTCAGCTGACACGGTCATTCTGACATCCTAGTTTCACGTCCCGAGGATGCTGGACGCAGTTTCAAGTAGGAAGGTCGAATCTAATCGCTAACTGTGGCTGCGAGAAATGTTCAACTCTACCCCCCAAAAAAAATAACAAGTACGCATGACCCACTTCCTTACCGCCGACAGAATGTGACTATCAAGAACTTCTCATCCAGCTGGTGTGACGGCATGGCGTTCTGCGCCCTCGTGCACAGCTACTTCCCGGAGGCGTTCGACTTCTCCAAGCTGAGTCCGCAGAACCCGCGGCACAACTTCCAGCTCGCCTTCACCTGCGCCGAGTGAGTGACCTTTGACCCGCAGTCCCGACCGCCCTCCCAGAGAGGGCCACGTTAATTTTTTTTCAGGTCACGCAATCACGTAATTGGAGGTGCGGCGGGGGGGACAGCAAACCATGTATGACATATATGGAGAACTTCTTTCACACCGTACCTAGCCAACCGTGCTAATCGGAGGTGCAGGGGAAAGACAACAAACCATGTACGTATCTATATGTTGAATTTCTTTTGCGCCGTACTTAGTCAACCACGCTCAACGGAGGTGCGGGTGAAGGACAACTAAACCCATGAAAAGCTGAAATAGATTGTTACACTCTGCTCGAGTGTGGGCAGCCAGTGGGCAGGTCGCGTGTGGCGGGATGAAGCATGTGGGTACTCCCGGTTATTCCCAGACGCATGGCCAGCGCGGAGGAGGAGGTCAGATGCCCTCTAGAGAAGCTCTCTTGAGCTCCCTCTAGTGGGGAGGCCCTTCCGCCAGCAGTGGTGTAGGCAATTGCAGGGCTGCGCCTTTGCTTTGGCCCGCTGCCCACTGTCGGTGGCATGAACTCGAGGCTTTGATGTAAAGGCAGCGTAGACCTTCAGAGCACGCGGTCACCTCAAAAAACGTAGCTGAATTAAAATAGTTTGCGTACGCAGCCAATTAGCGTCAAGCCATTGATTCAGTCTTTGTTTTAACAAAGTATTTATTTCACGTTCAAAGTTCCACCACTGATGATTGGCGATTTTCAAGAATGCGCTGCAGCACCTTCACCTGCACATTCAATGCGCCCTGCGTTCGATATTTGGCTCGAAGGACAATCTGCGAAACGAATTAGCGAATCGCTAAACCAGAAGACGGCAGGAACGTTTGCGACTGCCAACGTGAACTGACCTCACTTTTGGATAATTTCGAGTTTCCTCCGTACGCGTTGTCATCACGCTCCTCGCCATTGCCGGGAACCGTGAGCTGGCGGGACGACTTATCAATGTTACTTGTGTATGTAACTTGAACTTATTTCACACCGGACATAGCCAACTATGCTAATTGGAGGTGTGGGGGAAGGACAAGAAACTAAATAAACAAAAAGCAGTTCTAAAGACATGCGTTTTCAATGTAGATGATTTAAAAGCGCATAGCTCCAGTGGCTTCCTAATATCGGAAGGAAGAGCGTTCCAGACGGCCGCAGACGCGCATAAGCGCCGCGCGACGAGGCCAGCCAAAATTCGTCGCTGCGAGGATGACCAGAGTTTGCATTGAAGAGTGACTTGCTGGTGCGGTAAGACACAGTAACAAGAAATTAAAAATTAAAACCCAATTCCAACATTTAATTATAATCTTAAATCGAACCGCACCTTGTAAATACAGAACGAGGCCTGGTACATCGCACCGTGCCTGACATTGGCGGCGACGCCTCACGTTATACGTTTTTTGTTATAATTAAAATTCATTCAATTAAAACTGACATTTCAAAAACTAATAATGTGTTTCTAAAGGAGACACTCGTTAAAATTGGCAATTGTCACCGATCTATTTAAAAAATGCAAATTCTCATCGCCGCAGTGTGCAGTGATTTCTAAACATGATAGAACCTTCGCTGTTGAACCTCCGTGAAAGTTTGCCATCCTCTATGCAAACACATGAAAGCAGTCTCATTCCTTGAAAAATATATATTTCCGTGAAAACGTATCAACATTTGAAACCATAAAAATCCTGATGGGAATCGAATGTACCAGAGCATTTATTCCGAGTGAGAAGCACATCGGAGAGTATAACTCTCCAGTGTGTGTGTGTTTTCGGGCTGTACGTACTGCCGTGGTGTTCGCCACGATGTCCGACGTTCCGCTCCACGTGCTGGAAGCTTCTATTAGTCAACACATTTTACCGCTCGCCTTCTCCCTCGATTACACGGCGTTACCTGCTGCTGGTGTTGGTGGCAATGCTAAAAAAAAAAACATCCAGGGAGAATGTTGCGCTGCTAAATTCAGTTCCTTGAAGAAACTCCCAGCACGCGGCGCGAAACGTCGGACATCGTGCAGAACAGCACGCGGTACGACCCGACAAAATCAACAACACGTCCGTGGTGTACATGGCACAACCGAGCAAATCTACGCAGTGGTACAAAAACAGAATGACACTTATCGCAATGCCGATCTCGCCCACGCTCCCCCCCCCGAGTGAGATTCGTACACTATTCCCTGTAGGCACACGGGGAGCTCTGCGGGCCTACCGGGCGTGGTGGTAGCGCACCGCGTCCAATTCCGCCGCCGCTTGGGATGTGCGCAAATTAAACACGGAGAGTTTGGTGCGCTGCAGGGTCACACATCTCCTCGCGAGCAGTCGCGTGAATTGGGAGTGCACGGGAGGGCTCCGATGACGCATTGCCATCGGCAGCGAGATATCCGCCGAAAGGCTCCGTTGGGGTAACCCAGGTGGAGTCGAGTGTGGGCAAATCCAACCTCTTTCAAAGACATCTGACCAGTGTGGAAGAGTAGGCCAAGTATTCTCTGTAGAGGGGCTGTCTTTGAGCCCCTTCTATTTGGAGGCTATTCTGCCGGAATTGGCGTGGGCAGGAAATTGCAGGGCTGCACCTTTACCTCTTACCTATGCAGTGCAATGACTAAGATTATTGTCTGAAAAAAAGAAATATGGCTTGAGAAAATAGTAGTCGAGTGAGAAAATGGTAGTAGACTTTCAAATGCATGAAAACAAAGATTGATTTTAAAAATATATATATCTTTGCAAAGTAAAAAAAAAACCTCCACACGTGTGAAGCAAAGCTGCATATTAAAACTGTTTTCACTGGCGTCAACAGAGTCCCTGGGCCGACATCAAAGGTAGTCTTCGTGTACCGCCCGATGGCATCTCACGCGAGCGTGTCACTTTCAGGCAATTGGCCCACTGCGACCCCCTCCTCGACGTCGACGACATGATAATGATGGGGAAGAAGCCGGACTCCAAGTGCGTCTTCACGTACGTACAGTCTCTGTACAACAAACTGAGGCGGCTCGAGAGGATGATGGAGAAGGCGCAGCAGCAGCAGCAGTGACTAGGTACGGTTTTATGTTATCAGATTATTCTATTATTGGTTACTGGCCCGCTTGGCGTTTTGAGTCTATCTGAAATAGCGACCGTGATCAACAACAATTTATTTTTTCGCGGAGAGATCGAATCTTTGGAAGGACAAAAAATAAAAACCACGGCAACTTCAAGACGTCTTTGGAAGGAGAGCACACGGCGGAATTCAAAAACAAACGACTGCATTTAGCCAGGAAAAGCTTTTGATCCGTGACACTTTGAATTTGCCCTCCGTTGTTTTAGAAATGTCATTTGACGACCTTGGCTTTGAAGACACAAAGTTACGGATATTGGTTTTGGTCAAGCCCAGTACCCTTTATAGTCATCATAACACCTTGACGGATGTGACATCTTAATTGCCCTTCATATGGAAGTATTCAATTCAAGGGTTGGGGGGCTGTAGAGGGCTGAGACCCCCACCTCCTCCCACCCTTGCTAAAGGGCCTAGTGCCTTCTTCTAGAATTGTTTTAAAGAGTCAAGTAAAAAATGTTTGTTGCAATATTTAACACCATTGGCGGGACGAGAGCTAGAGCATTTTGTTTAAAGTTAAAAATGTCATGATCTCAACCCCCCGAGCTTGAATAGCCCCCCCTCTCTGCCAGCACCCTCCCCCGCCCCCCCCCCCATTTTAAACAAGGTCACGCTATAGGGCTCCCATGAATTTAACGCGTGTCACAATCCGGTGTGCGGGAGCGGATTTGTATCACTTTATTAACGCGGGCGCGTCCAATTCGCTTCAGCGTCTTACAATCCGGATAATACGGCGGCGACGTTATTGTGTATTTCTTTTTGCTTTTGCGTCGATATTTCTGTTGCAAAACATGTGACGCTAAATGCTTCCTCGTTTTACAAAAAAACAAAATAATGCGTGGTGGCGATTAAGTCTGAGAAAACAATACCGGGTTGCCTGATATTCTCTACAATCAGCCCTGCCAAATTTAATTAAACCCCGGGTGAAAATAGTATTTTTCACAGATTTCTGCAGACCAAATTAGACAATGGCACCACCATGGGGATATGCGATGGAGGTGTTAACTACCGTATTCTCCAGATTACAAGACCCAATTGTTTCGTGTGCAGCAGTTTGTAAGCGTTGCAGAGCAAAAGTTGGGGGTGCGTCTTTTAATCCGGTGTTTGTTCTGTATTATCTCTCACCATGTACCGTATTAACCGATGCACTTTTTCTGCTTTGTCGTTTTATAACAATTCGAACACGTTTTCTGCTATCCCGAGAAGTATTTTCCGGGGATGTTTTGTTTCATATTCTTAGGTTTTTTCGGTAAAGTCACGTAGGTAAAACATTTAAATTAATGAAAGTAAAATAAAATAATTATATTTTAAAATATTTTATTTTACTTTCATTAATTTTAATGTTTTACCTAAGTGACGTTACCGAAAAAACCTAAGAATATGAATCCTTGCAGTCACGAAAGCTTCAAATCTAGAATTGATGTTTTGTTTCGTTTACGAAAGATCCCGAAACTTGGGGTGCGTCTCACTTTCCGAAGCGTCTTAAAGTCTGGAGAAAAGGGTTACACATCCATCCCCACCCGCTCCTCCGGCGCAGTTAAGTCAATGAATTGTCGTGATCCATGACCTCGATCTAATTGGAAGACGATTCGTTATTTTTTTCTTCTTCTTCAATAAGTGGAAGCGTTTCCAGTTGCTACGGTGGTCATGCGCACGCCCATTACCACACACAACTACAACATATTCCTGCTCAAAGGAATCAATGTATTTATGAGCTCTAGTATCAATATTAATGAATTTATGCATCGTTACACCCAGAGTATACACACAACTGCAGCACCCTAAATTGGACGCAGGTTCCACGCATTCGTCAATAACACTGGCGGAATAACACGCCGATGTTTCAGATCATTACTCTTATTAATGTGAAATATTAACTCGAGTTTTATTATTACAGCGCAATTCGCACAAAGGCCTCAAAGCGAATTTACGTCCAGCTTTATGTTATGGCGAAAGCGCGTTGTTTAAAAACAAGCGGGTATCATGGCGCAATTTTAAAAAAAGGTGTAACAGACCCGCATTCACTATTGGGCTGAGGGAGGGAGAAAATTCCACAATCGCAGAGCCTGGCTGAAAAAAATATCAAGTCTCCCACAGAACAAAGTCTGGTCTTTGGAATGAGACGATTAGAATCAGCAGATCTAAGTTTTCGCAGTGGAATTTTAAAACTTATGCTGAGAGTATTGAGGAGCCAACTCATTCAAGACCTTAATCGTGACAAGAATCTTGAAAAAAGTCGATTCTGTACTTTACAGGGAGCCATATGCTTCGCCATTCATGGGACACTGCTTTGGATCAAATAAAAAAGGTGTCATTCTTGTTTGTGCATTGCTGCCCCGAGGCGAGAGTGTACGAGGATGGCCCAATGTTACATTTGCAACGTCTCACGAAGTGGACACCTGTGACTTTTACTGAACATGTGTGGTAAAGAGCATCATAGCTCGACTCTGAAGTGAATGAAAACCTATTCAGCACGTTGTGGAAACATTTCCCTGCCACGCGTACACATATGGCTCCCACCCAAATTCCGCGATGCCCTCAAACCACTCGAAGCGTGGAATTCTTTAGGAAGAGACAAGATACACGCAGCCATTGTCATCGACCATCTTACAAGCGAGCACGTTCAACAAACCACAATTTATCCTCCATGTTTAAACATCTTTCGCCACTCAACACACACACTGCTGCGTGACGAGACGAGTGTCATTAAACCGTACGGGGCTAAACCTTTTATGCCTGGGCTGTGCGAAACATTTCCCTCCCGCCTTGCGGTGGCACCGCACGAACGCCGCCTCGTGGCAAAACGCTGCTCGCGGCCATCTTGGAAATACCCACGGTGCTTTGCGGGGTAGACGTCGCGTGACGTCACAGACCAGGGGGGTGGGGTGGGGGTGGGTCAACCCCAGGGTTTGAGACATGCGCTACTGGTTTCAAAACGAATCGCGGACACGCGTGCAACAATAAAAACCACAACAACACTCAGTCAGTGTGTACTCTGCACGTTTCTGCATACCTGTCGACCCCTTTATTAGTGCCCTATCCTTATTACAGACCAATTCCAGACCTTGTTGGTCACCCCGTGCCCCTTTTAAATCTCAACGTTCATCCTACAAAGTCCCATCACAAGGGGGAAACAAACAGATAGACACATTTTTTTGCCCGTATTGAAATGGTTGTACGTCCGTATGGAATATGGGTAAACCGTATGGGTTAACAGGTAAGTTTCTATACTCTTTGGTTCTTTCGGTAAAGTCACAGAAATAAATAAACTACGTGACTTTACAAAAAAAACCAAAGAGTATGGATACCTGCAGTCACGAAAGCTTCAAATCAAGATAGGTATGTTTCTGTGTATTATTTTTGGAAACGTGTGCTTTTAAAAAAATAAAATATTCTCCGCATTATAAGATGCACCACCAACGGTTAAAATACAAGGTGGAAAAGCTGCGTCATATTCCGGAGAATACAGTGAGTGTCTTGGATACACTTGCCTTGCCATACCAGTAGCAAACTATCTTTACAAGAACAAACACTGGCGCTGCCTATTTCCCGTCACAATTAATTATACTTACCTGGGTTCACATGAAGTAAAAAAAAAACATCTGGTGAAATAGCTCTGCTCATTTGAATTAAGCATGTATTCACTTGAGTGGCTTTCTGTTATCGAAAGCCAAATTGTAACTTAACGGTTTAACGGCCACTTCCCAAGGAAACACGGAACATTGGGCCAGCGTTGGTCCTGTGATTGCAACCACTTTTCCAACGTTGCATGTTTCCTGGGTGTACTGGCATGGCGTAAGCTCTGATTTACACTTTGTTTTTGATCACTACCAACTGTTGTTGGTTGGAATCCACCACGCTGATCTTATTTGAACCTAAAACTGATGTCACTGTGTTCTAAATGCATGTATCTGACTATATATATATACACACACGGTCTATTGTTGTGTTCGTGAGTAGGATAGGTTTGTTGGAAGGATGTGAAGAGTTTTGTATTATTCATCCTATCAATTTACCCACACAATTGTTTAAAGGAATAGATAATTGCATAGTGCTCTTCCAAACGACGTGGCATGTGGAGACCCAGTCATGGTGCATTGTTTGCGTTTTTAAATACTCGACAGTGAAAATTATTTTACGTCTCACGCTTTCACTTTCTTTTTTAATGAACAATAATGAATTTATACTACAGTGTTGTGTTTTCAGATTTATTTTTTTGTTTGAAATTTGTATATATATTTTTTTGCACAGTATAATATTGCCTTCGTGTTGTTCTATAATTCTCTGGCGTACTTCGTAGTGATGTGCTTCTTTTCTCCTTCTCTTGCACGAAGCATCGCAAACATATTCTGGAACGCTGCTTAGGGCTGGCTTGGCGTTAAGAAATTATCGGCGTAAGACACGACCACTAGAGTACAACGTACGCATTCCTATGCATTACAATCCCATATTATTAAGCCTATAATCATATGAGGACAAAATAAGGTGATACGGAGCCAAAATAATTCCCCGAACAGCGTTCCAGACCGGCTGAAATTAAGCACTGAGCGTTGCATATTGTGACATTCTTGTCTTAGCCTATGCCACGTATGGGGGAGCAGCAGTGCAGTGGTTAGCACGCTGCACTGTGAGCCCGACGACCTTACGAGTTCGATTTCCCAGCCACGGCTAACATCAGTGGCGGGTGATATTTGTAACCGTGGTCACGTGACAATCTCCCACTTTCATTCACTAGCCCGCACTTACCAGCTTGGCGAAGTATGGTCATGCACCCCCACCCCCCCCCCCCCTCCATGACTAATACTACATGGGGAAGCCTTCATTCAGCAGTGGATTGATAAGGGCTGTAAATGTTTCTAAGTATGATTTCGTGTTTCTTCACATTTTTCTCGCGATAATAAATATACGGTAGCCGGTAGGGGTTAGTTAATTTTTAATGCATACATGGGATCGTCAAAAACATATTTTAACGTCTTATATTCTATGCAGGCACAGAATGTGGATAAATTTAATCGTAGAATTATAGAAGCAGCTCCACACTAAAGGTTGTGTCATGGGTTGTGAATAATTTCACTGACTTATTGCTGGCACAAACAAAAAGCTATAATCCATTTTTTTACGTGTGAAAATGCATGCAATGTGTAATTATTTACTTAAAAATTACAGCGGAAATAACGGCAGACACTCTATTAAACATAACTGCATGCATAGGAAATGTTAACGGATAATCACGTAAAAGAGTATTTTATTTGACGAATAACGAATCTAAAATTTTCATATGAAACACATTTTTTATGGTCTCTGGCATTAAATGTGCTACATTTATTGTTAAAAAAAAGAGTTGTTCCTCCCAGACTATGGGTCAATAATGTTGACTTTTACTTAGTTCGGGGTAGGCTGATATCATATAAAGAATGAATCTGGTGTGAAATGTAATAGGTTTTGTTATTGCACTATATTTAAATGCAGCAGTTCGTATCTTTCTTCACTGCCTATGGAATGGATTCGTATCGGAAACAGTCTCGGCATAACCGTTTGTCAGTGCTTAAATTCTGTTAAGCGCCATCCATCCTACGGCTCACTTTCATTTGGTTGGGATGACACGAAGAATAACCCAGTGCCACTCTTTCAGAGTCTCCCTTTGCCATTGAAGAACACGAAAACAACATCGATGGTTAATAAAAAAATCGCATGATGATTCTCGTAAAAAAAAAACCGATTGATATACTGATGAAAATGTTTCGATTTAAAGCTTTCGTGACTGCAGGGATTCATCATCTTGGTTCTTTCGGTAAAGTCACGTAGAAGGGAGATAATAAAATAATAAAAATTAAACAATAAAATACATTGTATTATGTTTTGAAATAATACAAATATAACATAATAAAATACATTGCATTTTATTATGTTTTATTTTTTAAATACATTGCATTTTATTATGTTTTATTTTTATTATTTTATAATTTCCCTTCTACGTGACTTTACCGAAAGAACCAAGAAGATGATGAAAATGTGTTCTTATTTGTTGATATTTCCCCCCCAAGTTTTATTGAATTTGAGCTGTTGGTATCAGGGAGGGAAGGGAAGAAGACATGTCCACGAAGAGCCCTTGCATAGCAGTGCGTGGCCCGTGTTAGAGCACGACCTGTGGAACGTGATATCACAGAACTCACACTGTGAGACCTCCTTTACCAGTGGCAAAATATAGTAGTAGGTTTTTACCCTTTCAACTGGTACAAAAACTGACACCTTTATGCAAGGCATCATGTTTGCAATAACCACAACACAAGCAGTGAAAATGCAAACAAAAATAAACAATTCCGATGATGATAATGATATGCACTGTCCTTGAAGTTGATTGGTCCACACCAGAGACAGCTTTTCTTAGAGCCTAGTCTCCATTGGTGTTGGACCAGATGACACCAAAAGGCGTACTTTGGCGTCATCTGGTTATTGCAAACATGATGCCTTGTATAAAGGTGTCAGTTTTTGTACCAGTTGAAAGGGTAAAAACCTATTACTATCACAGAACTCGTTCTTAGATCCCTTCCAAGTGACCTCTCATGTCAGCCAAACACAAAAAAATGCCACCTTCAGACCGCTGCTAAATGAAGCGAATTGTCAAATGTGTGCATCGTCACCCTGAGACAATCAACTCACTAAACTTGAGAACTCGCCTGAGTCATGATGGCTGAAACCCAGATTTTAAAAAAGCCCATTGATCTCCGCAGAACTGGCTTGGTGTTTCTGACCACAGAGCTTCCCGGCTACCTCTGAAATCAACGTCCAGCCAATGATCAAATAATGCGTGTTACAATCGGTTATCTCCAATTTATTGATTCATGTGATCGGTGCACAGAAACCGTACAACTTCTTACGGTTTCTATGCTCACCCCGGGTAAACAAGTGCAGTAGTAATAATATGATATGCACCGCATGGGGACAGGTGAATTGATTCGTGAGTTGAATCGTGACCCTGAATTGTGGCAATTCGTAGAATCCTGAATGGGGGGTGGGGGGTGAATCATAATCTGACCCGGTCCTGGGCCACCCCCCCCCCCCACCTTCGTCAACCCTCTCTAAACCAGCGTGGTGAAGTATGGTCAAATTACCCCCACGACTGACGCTGGCGTGGAGGGGGGGGGAGCCCTCAGCCATCAGTGGCTTGACGAAGGGCTGCAAATGTGTCATTGTGAATTATTTCCGGCATCATTGTACACACGCAGAGTTTAAGCACTGACCTTTTGTGCGTGACTTGTTTGTAAAAGCGACATCAGTAGAGCGTTTTGTGTGTTCCATTTTCAATATGTTTACGACACAGGTATAGTACAATGCCACTTTGTATTATTTGCATTACTGTATTATGGTCACTTGAATAAGAGCAAATAAAATATATTGTTTAAACACGCAGTTTTTAATTGACTTCTTCTCTGAGTCGCAATCCTTTTTTTCAGGGTGGTTCTGCCACATTGGCCTGTTTGGCCAATTCCATTCATGAGAGTTTGGTTGCGTGGAAGATGAAAGCAGAGTGTCCGGACAAAAACCCACTCAATTGGAGAGAAATACTAAACAAACAAAAAGCCAGAGGATTGGATTCAAGATTCCACTGCTGTACTGCCATCCCTTGACCACCAACAACACGTGATATTGGCAGACAGCTTCCCAACAACAGCACTAATTGCACTCCACCCTACACAGATTGAAATCTTTGACGAGATGCTAGGCACCTTCATGTTGATGAGGTCACGACGCTGATAGGATTTGGTAACCCGGCTTAAATTGAAAAATTATCAGCTCGTCAAAGAGCAAATACTCAACAGATACAAAAACGTGATATGAACGCGGTTCGAACGTCTGAATATACCGTGGGTCCCTTCAGAAGGAATGTAAAGCCACACACTTACATATTGAATTCTCATAACGCAAAGGGCACCTCTTTCCTAGAAAACACGTCGAGTAAAGAAAACTTAGAACGATTCTTTCACATCTTTTCATGGAGAGCTCTGCTTTGGAATTTAAGTCCAATTACCTTTTTCTAACAATATTTTGCGAGTGTGTGGGTGGAAGCTGGCGTACCAGAAGAACGCACAACACGGTCCAACCTTCGGAGAGGGAGCTGGTACAGAAACCTACTTTCTGCACTGCCTCGTACTTATAATACCAAGCACGGATATCACGTAATTTGTACGGCTGGATTCGTAAAAAAATAACACGCGGTTTTTGTGTGGAAGCCACACACACACTGCAGCATAAGTTTCCAAAAAAAAAATAAAAAAAAATAACTTTCTTAAACATGCCTCTTACATGTGGCCTCTGTATGGATTAGAAGGTATGTGGCCGAAAGTAATCTGGTTTGTTAAATGTCTTTTGGTGTCCCGAAACAAGAAAATTCCTGTTCAGTTATTCTGTAACTGTTTGCTTATGAGAGGTTGCGTGTCCATGCAGAATGTCTCGCGTGGCTGAGAAGCCGCCAGGGTTATAAACGGAGCGGGGCGGGGGGGGGGGAGAAACCGGTACACAAGCCACCACCCACACACGACGCCTGGTCTGCTCCACTGAATTTCAGTGTCTGTCTCGGCCCAATCTCAAGTGCCTCTCCCAATAGCCATCGCGCAGCCAGGAGGAGACACAACTGAGATGAGAGAGAGAGGGAGGGAAAGATTGAAAGGAGATGTGGGGACAGAGACCAAAAATAAGTATAACCCGTAAAAACAAAGTTTTTCACTATAAATCCTTTATATGCGTGGCAGCGAACTTAATATAAAGGATTTAAAAATATATTCGCATGTGGAGGACGCGGGGATCGATCGCGCGACCTTTGGCATGGGAAGCGAAGGCGCTACCAACTGCGCTACTCCGCCACGGCCTGTGGAGGGGTTACGCTCTGGGCTCTTATACTGTGACGTTCAGCCAAAGCCAAGAATGAGTTCTTTTGAATATATGTAAAATATTTTTTTTTTGCCTAAAAAGTGTAAAAGTTTGGGAATTTTTTTCACGAACATTAATTGTCTGACACAACGAGTCTGTGTGGAAAATGTCAGCTCGATTGGATCACGGGAAGTGGGTTAAAAAACGACCGAAAGATTTGCACGGTCCTAAGCAAGCAAGCACGCAAGCAAGCGAACTTAATATAAAGGATTTAAAAAAACCCGCAGGGCGGCAGCAGATCAAGTGACGGGGCATTGAGAGCGATGCGAATGAACAGCGGTGTGTGCATAAAAGTGGCAGTTGTAAAAATCGCGTGCCATCTAATGGAACGAGATGCCCATAGAGGATTGGTTAAAAATAACGGGCATGATAAATTAGGTAACAGCAGTCAAGGTGCATCCCTGCAATTGCTTTCCCAAGCCAACCGCCAGTGTATGGGCTTTTACTAGCGGGTGAGATCTCAGAGAGGTGATTTAAGAGGGTGTTTGGCCGACTTTTCTGAGCTAGACAGATCATCTTTGAAGAGATGGGCTTATGCACCCTTTACCCCACTACACGCAACCTGCCCATCGACTTTGGTATAGCCCATTAAAATGTTTGTATGTTAAACTTCTTTCGCACCGTACGTAGCCAACCACGCTAATCGCAGGTTAGCGTGGCTGGATACGTACGGTACGGTTGGCTACTGAATACAGGAGGGGTTGGGGGCGATTTCATATAAAATAAACTTGCATCATAGTTTCAAAATAAATCGATAGATACAGGTGAAATTCATATTACATTCGTGGGATATTTGAATACAAATATATCAATACAAATACATTCTGGAATATTTTTTTTCCAATATAAATTTTCTATATCTATTTGAAAGTGCATGTCATTGCATTTTTCAAGACTTTTAACGTGTTCTCGAGCAATGATATGCAATATTAATCATGTAAACTCCATAATCATCAACTTAATTCTGCAAGTGAAATGCAAGAAATGCATGAAATATTATGGATAATTAATGGCTGTGTTGTACTTAGAGCTGACTGTCCTGAATAAAAAAATAATTGTCCATATCCCTTTTCTCAATCCACTGCTGGATGAATACCATACTCTTAGGTTTTTTCGGTAAAGTCACGTAGGTAAAAAATAAAATTAAAATTAATAAAAGTAAAATAAAAATCACGACGTTTCGGAGGCAACACAAGCTTCCGTCTTCAGGTGGAACCGTCACAGCACGATTGCTGTATCAAGATATCAAGATAAAAAATAAAATTAAAATTAACAAAAGTAAAATAAAAATCACGACGTTTCGGAGGCAACACAAGCTTCCGTCTTCAGGTGGAACCGTCACAGCACGATTGCTGTATCAAGATCTTAAGATACAACAATCGTGCTGTGACGGTTCCACCTGAAGACGGAAGCTTGTGTTGCCTCCGAAACGTCGTGATTTTTATTTTACTTTATAATTTTAATTTTATTTTTTACCTACGTGACTTTACCGAAAAAAACCTAAGAGTATTAAATCCTTGCACTCACGAAAGCTTCAAATCTAGGATGAATACCACTGTTGGTCATGGGGATTGTTTGACCATACTTCACCACTCTGGTCAATTAGGGTTGTTGAAGTTGGTGCCCCTCCAAGACCGGTTTAGATATCACTCTGTTCTCATGTTAGCCATGGCTAGGGATTTAGCTACGGCCATTGGGTTCATTGTGCACTGCGCTCACCACTGAGCCACCAGATTCATCTCCAAAATAAGACGCTCAACAAGCTCTTAGATTTTATATAAATTACCCATCAAAGTGCGGCAAAGAATCCGAATCACACAATTTATAAATTTCACCATACTGAAGTCTGTAACAACCTTTTTTTTATTAACGCAACGGCTAAATATCTATCAAACAAATTTAAAATAGCCCGTGATGTGAACGACATCAGCATTAATTCTTTTGAAAACAACAACAACCACAAAAAAAACCCAAAACATCTTTTTAACAGCAGGAAACACAAGATCCTGTGTGAAACTAGACATTGTTTTGACCCCTGTTGTGTACAGACATCCGCACCATACAATAAACACGATCTCGCGAGTACACAAGGTGGGTTGAGGCGCTGCCCCATTTCCATATACCAGTCACGCACGCACGTTTGAGAGGGAGCCACCGCCATCCATCAACAGCTTGTCAGGATCATGAAAAGCGTTTGATGCCCGCTAATTTGTCTCTTTTTCTTTCCTCTCCAAAAAACGCCACTTTTTCTTTTTGAAATACAACGTAGCCAAGCGGAACGGGGCATTTGGCTCCCCGAGATCCTGATGGGACGGCAGCAGAGTTAATGAAGAGGTTATATATATATGTGTGTGTGTGTGAGCATCAAAACTGTCAAAACTAGCACCGCTCGCCGCAGGAGTTGCCGATTGGAAGGGCGACGCTGAGCGTACTTTCCAGAACTCGTGCGAGCGAGCGCGTTGCCCCACGATTTATATCTTTTCGTGGGGGCGGCGGCGCAGGGGAAAGGAAAATTAGATTACAAATAATAATTTGTGTTTGCGACCGAATTTCAAAATACGGACACACCGTTCGGTTTTATTTTTTATTTTTTATTTTTCTTCGAGCGAGAAATTGAAACGACGAACGAGTCGGAGGACCTTAACGAAGATGGCGAGACGTTGCTGGATCGACCGGAGATATGTTCCGATCATCGCGATCGCGATGCTTTTGGTTCGCTGTTCAAGTGGTAGCTGGATGTGAGTACGACGGTCGTTCGCGTCTTCTTCGGGGATTGAATAACAAAAAAAACGGATACAATGACGGGTAACAAAAATGTAACAAATTCACAGCTCGATGAATCTCACGTGCCTTATGGATTTACCTTGGATTGAGACTGTAATTGCTTTTTATGATCTGAAAGTGGCTAGAAGACAGAATGTAAGTACAAACATTCTTGGGGGGGGGGGGGGGGCGGGAGGGGTGAATGGAGAAACAAAAAAAATCTAATAAATATCGTAAACATTGAAAAGGGGATGGCTTCATAAATCTCTCTCGCGTTATGCAGTAACTTCGATTGAGGCTGTAATTGCTTTTTATTTCCGAAGGCGGCTGTGGGTGCTGGACGTTAAGTGTTCAGTTCGTTGGCGGGGGAAAGTGAAAAATGAACAACACGCCTTCAAAAGCGTAACAATTGCTAAATCGCACTAACGGGCGTTACGAAATATTAAATTTCGATTAAGGACGTAATTGCATTTTTTTTGTTTCATTTCTAAAGGTGGCTGGGAATGCTACCGGCCAGACTTCCAGAGAAGCTGGGCTGCTCACAAATTCCCGGACTGCCGAGCCGGCAAATAGAAGTTTGCAAGCAGAAGCCTGACATCCTGGGCAGCATTCAGCGGGGAGCGCGTACGGCCATCCAGGAGTGCCAGAGTCAGTTCAAGCACGAACGGTGGAACTGCTCAACGACTAGTGACTACTCGGTGTTTGGACAAGAACTAACTCGCGGTGAGTGCGCGTCCGGAGGGGAAGGGGGGAGGTGGGGGCTTGATTATCGAGCGAACTTTTCGTAGTCGCGTACGCGTTAAAACGTACGCATCTTCGAAGCTAGGAGTCCTCTTATTTCTTCCATTGCTCTGCCAGGAATGAGGGTAATTGCGTCTTTGATATACCTATTTATTTATTTTTACAACAATGATATTGACACTTTTTGTTAGAGTTTGTGTTATTTATACTTTATCAAAAGTGTCAATAACATTGTTGTAAAAATAAATAAATACATATTTATAGTTTGTGTTATTTATACTTGTGTAACATTGCAAAAAAACAAAGATTCCCCGTGTAGCCTTAACAGACTGTTAGGGCAAGTTGCTGTTTGCGAGCACCTATGAAGGCCGGCACGGTACACGAGGGGGTGGGTGGCTAGCACCACGTCCGGCCGCCTTTGTCCCCCCAGTGGCGATGTTTACACACCGCATCAGGTACCCATTTGAGACTGAGCCGACCTAAGGGAAGCCCAGGACCGGTTCAGATAATCGTCACTGGTGTTGGCCGTGAGCTGGAATCAAACTTGAGTCGCCGGTTTCGTAGCGCAGGGCCCTAACAGTTTCACTTACCGCTTCCACACACCACTGCCAACGCAGTATCACACACACACACAAACACACACTAACAAAAAAGAGTATATTACAGCATGGAACGAGCCATATGGAATATTATTGAATCTACTGCTTATTCTGTGCCTCATATACACCGATACGTTTGATATATTTCCTATATAGAAATCATATGTATCGTCGTTCAATGGTGACCAGCTTTATATAAGAGCGGGAGCCAGAGGAGAGCCTCACCATTCTTGCGAATTGCCTGATGATGCTGGATGCAATTACCAGCGAAACGTCGTACTCAAATTATACATGTTGTGGTTTCACGCTTCAACACACCGGTGGGTTAAAGCAGTGAACTATTTGTTTTTGTCAACGTGACACTTTTTTACTGATTGGCCGTGTCGGGTGGTGGAGGGTTACGACACATTTATAAATAACACGATCTAAACCCAAAAACGTTGATTATGAATAATATTGGTCGCGAAAGCCTACGTGTTAAACTGACCAGCTTGTAATGTTGACCGTCATGCCTATGATTGGTTGTGGTGACTTGCCTTCTAAAAAAAAAAATCCACACGAGTCACAGGCTTAAACAGTCTAAAATCCTGATTTTCCTTTCTGCTGTGCTCTTTATTTTAAAAGTGAAACCTGGACCATCGCCATCGTGGCCTCTCTCCTGCACGTCGATATAATCCGCTCTCAAAACGAGCCGCTAACGTTCACGAACGGTTCACCTTTAAAGCGTTCACCAAGAAACCTCTTTTTCAAGTCTAATTTACTGTCACGAAATGTGAACTATCGTAATTCAAGATAGTTTGATTTATTATCGTTATTATTATCAAAGGTCATGGTTGATCTACTGCTGGATAAAAGCCTGCCCATGCGGTGAGCATCCAACATATATATAGTCTTGCGAAGCCACAATAAATATAACTTCTGTCCAGGAACTAATCACTCGATGCCTACAGTGACCAATTTGATAACCGTAGATGATTACGTTATGCTTTTTTGCGCAATATTCCCATGGTTATTTTAAATTAGCACCTCCGATTAGCACGGTTGGTAACGTACGGTGTGAAAGAGGTTCAACATACATACGTACAATTTATATCAGTGTGCCGTTTAAAACGTTTTGTGACTCATGTGCATCATATTTTCATTGTTAAGTTTAGTTCTCCAAAGGCACCCAAACTTAATCTCGGCAGCCTTTTTATTTCAAAATGTGTTGACCCTAGCCCGCCTTCAATAATGATAATAATTATACAATTCGTACCACGTACAATATTTCACAGATATAAATGACCGTGGCTTTGAAGCGCCGAGTAAAGCTCAATGCCACTCAACAAAGCCACGCAAACGAGGTGGGGGACTTTAGGAAAGAGGTGGGGGCCTTTAAGAAAGATGTGGGGCCTTTAAGAAATAAGTGGAGCCCTTAAGAAAGAGGTGGGGCCTTTAAGAAAGAGGTGGGGCCTTTAAGAAAGATGTGGAGCCTTTAAGAAATAAGTGGAGCCCTTAAGAAAGAGGTGGGGCCTTTAAGAAATAAGTGGAGCCCTTAAGAAAGAGGTGGGGTCTTTAGGAAAAATGTGGGGCCTTTAAGAAAGATATGGGGCCTTTAAGAAAGAGGTGGTGCTTTTAAGAAGGATGTTGAGCCTTTAAGAAATAAGTGGAGCCCTTAAGAAAGAGGTGGCGTCTTAAGAAAGAGGTGGGGTCTTTAAGAAAGATGTGGAGCTTTAAGAAAGAGGTGGGGCCTTAGAGGAAAAGGTGGGGCCTTTGAGAAATATGTGGAGCTTTTAAGAAATAAGTGGAGCCCTTAAGAAGGAGGTGGGAGGTGGGATCTTTAAGAAAGATGTGGAGCTTTAAGAAAGAGGTGGGGCCTTTAAGAATGAGATGGGGAGGGGGGCATTCAGTGACTCTTGAGAGTTGGTGTAGATTGATCGCCGCTGTTGCTGCGAAAGTGATATGGGACGAAGGCGAGCGATCTCCAGTTGTGCCACTCCTACAATAATATATTTAATTGTTTCGTGAATTTGCTGAACATCCACTTTTGTCCTGCTCATATGTATCCTGAGCCCAGCTGTACAGTCTTCTTCATGAATGTCTCCAAACATACCCTGAAGGTTGATTTGTCCATTCGTGATACCGTGTCTTACGCCATGTTTGTATGCCGGGTGCATATGCTGCACGTATGCAGTGAGTGTATGCGATGTGTATTTAGTGTGTATATGCTATGTGTGCAATGGGGATATGCCACGTGTATTTTATGTCTATATAATCCGTAGCTCCGGTTCAATGTAGTTTTCTGCTAGCCTAGCGTATGGCATGTATGTATGTGTAGATTATAGGTCCGTATTTAAGTTAGTGAGCAGTGTTATCGCTTCACAAGGAGCGCGACTAATAACTCTCCATTTGAAAAATAAGAATAGGTTTTACACTTTCTGGCAATCAAACAAGGTTTAGGATGTTGAAACACGAAATAGATAGCTTTCGCAAGGAATCTTATTTTTCATACTTTGATACAGGCAAAAAAGGTCCCATGATAATAACTCTCCAGTCCCCCGGCCTAGACGAACGCAGTCGAATGTGGTACGATCATTAAACAACACCCAGAGCACGTTTTTGTTCCGTGTAGACTGGCAGCTCTCTTCAAACTGCTTTGGACGGTGCCTTCCATCCACACTGTTGGCTACGTACACGGTGCGAAATAAGTTAAACATATTTCGATGTAAAGCTTTCGTGACTGCAGGGATTCATCTTCTTGGTTCTTTCGGTAAAGTCACGTAGAAGGGAAATAATAAAATAATAAAAATAAAACATAATAAAATAATTCTCACGACGTTTAAGACGCTGTCTCCCCGACAGACCTGGTCTTCACCTGAGGACGGCTGCTTGCGTTGTGGCCGAAACGTCGTGAGAATTATTTTATTATGTTAAATTTTTATTATTTTATTATTTCCCTTCTACGTGACTTTACCGAAAGAACCAAGAAGATGTTCAACATACATACGATGGGATCATGCTCAAAGGCTCTGCACAGATAGATTCAAGAATCTGTACCGCCATCTCCCGGTCAACTCACGCCTGACATCTCCGTGCAGTCTTCCCCATCCGAGTACTAACCAGGCTGCAGAGCTGCTTAGCTTCCAAGATCAGGCGATGTTGGGCACCTTCAGGGTGATCTTAAGAGTATTTGGCTGCTATAAATGTCCGCATTAGAAGCCGCCCGCTTCGTTGAGCTACAACTTATGATGGCCAGGTCGCTTTAGTGGGCCCTTGGTAAGAAAAAATAGATTTGGTCTCAAGATTATTTTCGGGAAGGTCCTGCATCGTGATGGACCAATTTCTTGATTGAGCACTCTTAGGTTTTTTCGGTAAAGTCACGTAGGTAAAAACTAAAATAAATAATAAAACTAATAGAAATAATATATTTCTTTTTTACCGACGTGACTTTACCGAAAAAAACCTAAGAGTATGAATCATTGCAGTCACGAAAGCTTCAAATCTAGAATCCTTGATTGAGTGTTAGGAAGAAACCTGAGTTCCCAGGGTACAACCATTTGACAAGAGGAGATAACACTGACACATCCACACAATTAGATTACATCCACTGCTGTATTGCATTCTCATGTTTACCTTGCACACAACTCAAGCCGACAACGCCTCTCATTCAAAAGCAGTCTTCCATCAGACTGCCAACCAGGCACGGGCCTGCTTAGCTTGCATCTCGGACGAGTTTGGGTGCAGTTCGGGTGAGTCAGTCATTGTGTAAGACGAGAGTGCATCAAGATTCACAGTGTCTCCACGCCGCTCGAACGATTGTGGAACGGCTCTGATGCGGGCGCCACGGTGGCGAGATGTTAACTACTTCGCCTGGTTTGCAGAAGGTCGTGGGTTCGATCCTAACCTTTACGCATGCATATTTGGAGTTTGCGTGTCTTTCTCCCTGTGGTCGCGTGCAATTGTCTGTGGTTCCTCCAGTTTTTACCCTCCACATTTAAAATCAATGTGCGTTTGGAGTATTTGGTTGCAATACATTTCCGCGTGATAAGCCACTTCGTTGAGCCATCATTTGTGGCCAGGTCGCTTCTGAAAAAGAGCTACATATCTTAGTTGGGCCTTAACCTGGTAAACTATGAATATTTCATGGTTTTAGTTTCATAGATTCAACGTTCCAATGACAAGAGGCCATCTAATGCACGCGACGCAACATTTTTAGCACGACACCCTGTAGGCCACCTCACTGGCACCAGCCACTGTCTTCGTGGCGAGCGAGAGCTGGGACTCTAACACAGCCGTGCCAACTCAGCGGCCTTTTGGGTTTAACTCGCGGCAATTTTTTTTTCCATCAAAGAGATTAGCGCCGATTCCAGCGAGAGCCAAACGCCGGACTTGCAATCGAGAGGTCGACCGGTTGGATCGCCCAGTGTGACCATTGAAGCGGTAACACCCAGCGGTATAAATGGGGTAGAGCGCGTGGGCGAGGTAAAGTGTGTGGGTCCTCTCTCCTCTTCCAAGACACTTGGCCAGCGTGCAAGAATAGGGAAAGCAAAATAACAAGAAGAGGCATTTTTTGTTGACTTCGTTAACAAACTAACAGTTTTGTTGAATTCGTTAACAAACTAACATTTTAGTTGAATCCGTTAACAAACATTTTGTTTAAATCATTAGCAAAGTCACATTTTAGTTGAATCCGTTAACAAACTAAAATTTTCAACAGCCGCAACCCACGTGACAGGAATACGAGACGGTCGTGAATTAAAAACCGTCACGCAGCAGTCCTGAAAGAGCCGAATGCGGCTCCGTAGCCGCAGGTTTTCCGACCCCTGCTCTCGAGGTAACCTCTCGAGCCCGCCCGGGTGGCACAACCTTCTGCCAGCAGTTGACATGCGCACGCAATTGCAGGGCTGCACCTTTGTCTCTTAATTTTTTTTTTGCTACGTTCAGTACGCCACAGCGCGTCTCTGAGTTGCTGAGTGGCATTCGAAGAACCGATCTCGTGAAATACGGTGACTTTTTTGGATTCGTTTGGCGACTTTCAATATTTCGGAATAATATTCGTATTGTTTTTATTACACTCTATAAACTATATATTTATTTTACCACTTAAGGCCCACTGAGCTAAAAAGCTATTTTTCAGAAGTGACCAGGCCACAAATGATAGCTCAACGGCTTATCACGTGGAAATTTACAGCAGCCAAATACTCTAAACTCGTGTTCATAAACCGGAGGGTCCGGAGTAAAATCCACGCGACCACGAGGAGAGAGACAGGCAAACTCCAAATATACAGCAGGCGTCAGGGTCGGGACCGAACCCACGACCTCCTGTGTACCAGGCGAGGTAGTTAACATCTCCGAGTCACCGTGGCGGCCCCGCTCGTTTGCCCAGGAAATCCTCACTGATTCTCACGTCTATTTTTCAGGCGAGTCCTGCCAAATTCAGGCAGTTGAGCGGGGGGGGGGGGGGGGGGGTGCAATCTTCATTGAGCAATCGGCGGTTGATCCTTTCGAAGTTGGCACAAAATGTGGACCACGATACCGGTTGGCGCCACGACGGCGACCAGCTTGGAGCGCTTCGGCCCTCCCCGTGCCGTGGTCTCCCTCTGGGCCTGAAGCAGAAGATTACTTTGGTGCCGGATACAGCCACAGTGTGATTGCGATGTGATCCGTAACTTTTACACGCCGTGTATCGATCGTTCCATTATTTAATGTGCAATTGTACTGAGGACCCGTTGTGTGTTGGTGTCTTGGTGTGGTCTGGGACTGTTGTTGTTTTCGTTGTTGTTGTTGTTGTTGTTTTGCTACCTTGCCCCAAGCTTGCATTTAGTGTTGAAAAAGTGGCAGGAATTCATGTACCTATGGAATTTTTTTACTTATATACAGACCTGTCTTTTTATAATAAAAAGAATGCGTGACTTGCTGACCCTTTTTTTTCTCTACGTTGCACTCCTATTGAATGTTGCATGGTTTGTTGTCGTAACTTGCTAACCCGCCTCGAGAAAAAAGAGCTTCATAGCTCATCGGATTCCTCCTCCAGTTTAAACAAAGATTCTAATTCTGACCTCCCCCCCACCCCCTCCCACCAACCTTACAAGGCTCGCGAGAGACGGCGTTCATCTACGCGGTGGCGAGCGCCGGCCTCGTCTACTCGATCACGCGTGGCTGCAGCGCGGGCGAAGTCTCGGGCTGTTCGTGCGACGCCTCCCTGAAGGGCGGCTCGCAGAGCGAGGGCTGGCAGTGGGGCGGCTGCTCGGACGACATCCGCTACGGACTCACCTTCGGCCGCAAGTTCGTGGACGCTGCCGAGAGCGCCGCCGGCGGACACAACGCGCTGATGAACTTGCACAACGTGGAGGCGGGCCGGCAGGTGAGGGATTCGGTCGGGATGTCCGCCCTCTTTGCACGCGAGATCAAAGCGATCACATCGAGCCCCAACTCCCCACCTCCCCCCTCCATCCCCTACCAGCAGGATCATTAATGCCCGCTTGCGGACCGAGATAAAAATAAACTATTTTATTCTATATTACTGTTAGTAGCTCAGCTTATTGGAGAGTATATTTAGGATACTGATGATACTATGTGGTTTATTCTTTAGTTTTTTACGTGGTTGTTTAGTAACTGCAGCTACATACTATTAACATTCCTTCTCTTTGTTAATGCTACCTCCATCCCCTCCCGTTGATACTGCTAATCCTGCATAATGCACGGGCATAATATGACTTTGAAACCCCCCGCCCACCTCCTACGCATTTCCCACAAATATGCAAAATTCCTCTTGATATGCAAATTCTTTTGTCAAGGCGCTCTTCTTCCCCCCTCCAACCCAGCTTAAATATACGCTCCAAGCTTGGTGGTGTTTCATTTTTCACCTGAGGACGGCTGCTTGCGTTGTGGCCAAAACGTCGTGAGAATTATCTTATTATGTTTTATTTTTATTATTTTATTACTTCCCTTCTACGTGACTTTACCGAAAGAACCAAGAATATATTTTATTTTACCAGGTAAGGCCCACTGAGCGATATACCTATTTTTCAGATGTCCAAACAGGCCATCAAACTGGCTTGCATAATACTGTCTCTCTCGAGTTATCTGTGCAAGGGCAGGTCAATGACTCCAGTTCTTGCCAACTTTAAATATTTTTTTTATCTTACCAGGTAAGACCCATTCAGCTATACATCGTAGCCCTTTTTCAGAAGCGACCTGGTCACAAATGGTCGCTCAACGAAGTCGAAGTGGCTTATCGCGTGGACATTTATTGCAACAGACAAATACTCTAAACGCGTGATGTCGATTCTACACGTGGATGATGAGTCGAGCGCACAGTGCGCTCCGTCAGATTGGTTGGTAGCAGCACCGGAGGGACGAGGGGAGAGGGGGGGAGGTCTTCACCTAGCCGAGAGTGCAACAATGCCTCTTCTCCGTCAGCTCCACCGGCTTTCCCATTCACAATACCGCCGTGTTTTTTTTTTAAACCTCACGCTCGTTTGTACATCTCTCCATGGCCTTGCACCCCCCCTCCTCGTCTCGCCTCTCTCATTTCTTCATGTCCTCCGCCTCATCCTCCTCTTCGTTCCCAATCTTCTCGATGTCTCTCACTGTCCCTCCTCGCACCCTACCACTGGAAGCGACTCCCCCTATGCGTTCAGCAGCTCCCCCCTTAACCTCGTTCTCTCTTCAAGCCTCACCACCTCGTCTCCATTGCCCATCCTCTTCCCTCCCTTCGCCCCTCCACTCCATCCTGTCCCTCCCCTACAGCCCTTTCGTGATCCCCGCGTGCCCGCTGTTGCGGTCATTCACTCCTCGGCCCTTGCACCGCCGCTTGCCATCAAAATCACTCTCTTTTCCCGTACCGCTTTGAAACGATGAAAAGCGCATCGAACCGAGTCGCTCCACAAATATTTCAAATACGATGACGACGACGACGCGCGTTACGCGACTAAGCCGCGCGCTTGTTTTTTTTTGTATCGCCAAGGCGGCCTCCATGCTGATGACGACGCACTGCCGCTGCCACGGCGTGTCGGGTTCGTGCGCCGTCAAGACGTGCTGGCGGGGCATGGCGAGCTTCGACAAGGTGGGCAAGCTGCTCAAGGACAAGTACGAGGAGAGCGCGCACGTGGTGGAGAAGTCGCAGGGCAAGCTGCGTCGGCGGGGCAACCTCCACGGGGGCAAGCACGCCGCTCACAAGGACGAGCTCGTGCACGTGGCCGACTCGCCCGACTATTGCGTGCGCAACGGCGCGGTGGGCACGGCGGGCACCAAGGGGCGCGAGTGCGATAAGTTCTCGGACGGGCCCGAGGGCTGCGGCTCGCTGTGCTGCGGCCGGGGCTACAACACGCACGTGGTGCGACACGCCGAGCGATGCGAGTGCAAGTTCATGTGGTGCTGCTACGTGAGGTGCCGGGTGTGCGAGACGCTGGCGGACGTTCAGACGTGCAAGTGAAGGAGAGTTCGCGTGGCTCCCCCCCCCCCCACCCCATCCCGCCTCGCCCTGCCCGCCACAACCTCACCACCCCGCACACCCCCCCCCCCACACCGCACCCCCCCCACTCGCGTGTATGTTGAACTTCTTTCGCACCGTACGTAGCCAACCGTGCTAATCGTAGGTGCGTGGGTAGGACAACAAATGACACACGCAAAAAGCTGCACCTCTAACCACCCAAGTTACTCGCGCTATCAAATACATTTCTGGGAGGCTCAACCGGGATACACGGTGAGCTCCCCCTCCCTCCCTCCCTCTCCCCCTCCCTCCCTCCCCCCTCCCTCCCCCCTCTCTCCCTCCCCCCTTCCCTCCCTCCCTCCCTCTCTCCCTCCCCCCCCTCCCTCCCTCCCTCCCCCCTCCCTCCCTCCCTCCCTCCCTCCCCCCTCCCTCTCTCCCTCCCTCCCTCCCCCCCTCCCTCCCTCCCTCCCTCTCTCCCTCCCCCCCTCCCTCCCTCCCTCCCTCCCTCCCCCCTCCCTCTCTCCCTTTTTTTTTTTTTTTTTTGTTTTTTTTTTTTTTTTACGATCAGTGGAAACAAGAAGATGCTCGGTGTATTCGGCACTTTGTTTCGGTCATCATTTCGTAATTTTTTTTTTTTTTTTTTTTTTTTTTTTTTTTTTTTAAACGGGGCTTTATGTTGCCCTCGCTCGCTCGCTCTCGCTCGCTCGCTCGCTCGCTCTCTCGCTCGCTCTCTCGCTCGCTCTCTCGCTCACTCTCTCGCTTGCTCGCTCTCTCGCTCTCTCTCTCGCTCATTCTCTCGCTCACTCTCTCGTTATTTACGCCGCCCCCCTCGCAGTCCTATGGCCTCCGACGGGTAGCTCATAACAGCATGCAGAGCTCCCCGTCATCTGCCACGGAGCACACGGCCTCCTCCATCGCCCACTGCTCCTTGAAGGCCGGCACGGCGTGGGTCAGCCGCGCATGGCGGAACTCCAGCCACACCCTGGCTCCGACCAGAGCGCGGAAGATGCCCAGGCTGCTGGCCGGACGTTTCCCCTCCAGGGCCACCTTCCTCGCCCTGTAAATGGCGAGCTTGGCGTAGCCGACAAGCACGTTGACCAGCCCCTGAAGATGTTGGGATCCGTCGCCCTTTCGGTATCCAAAGATGAGGACCGTCGGGGAGAAGTGGAGGCTGAACTTTAGGAGGATGTTTCTCAGGACCTTGAACAGCGAGTCCAGGCTCTTGCACTCCACGTATTGGTGCGCCACCGTCTCCACTTTTCCGCAGAACCGGCACTCCGGGGGCGTGTCAGTGAAGCGCGCCAGGGAGGCGTTGGTGGTGACGGTGCCGTGGGCGATGCTCCAGCTGAGGTCGCCGATGCGGTTGTACGTCGGGCTGGAGTAGAGTTGCCTCCAGCGAGGCCTCTCCGGAGAGATGCAGGGCAGGGCTTTCCTCCAGGCATGGTCCTTATGGCTCCTCAGGGTGTCCTGTTGGTGAAACCGGACCATGTAGGAGTAGAGCACCTTCCTCTTGACATTTGCGAAGGCCACCTCTGGTAGGTCCTCCAGCCGGCACAGGTTGTGATCCGCCTTCGCTTGTCGGCATTGGCGACGCAGTGGCACGACGGAGAGCTCCGGTGGAGGGGGACCGAGAGGGGCCTCGTCATCCCCAACGCCGATGGGGGGCGTTCTCCCCGCTGCCGCTGAGAAGGCCACCTTGGCTTCGGCCAGGATCCGGGCAGCCACCCGGAGCGATTGCAGCCCTGTCTTTGCGGCCATGTCTGCTGGTCCGAGCCACCGGCCCCGTGTTCCAGGCTCCACCAGATCTCCCATCCTGGTGAGCCGCGCGTTGGTGAGGCGCCTCTCCATGCCGGGGGTGGCGGTGGTGGACGGCAGCTTTGTCTGCGGGTTCCTGAAGATCGGTTCGAAGACCAGATCCTCGGCCGATTGCGGCTGGTTCAGCCTCCTGACGGCGAGGGAGCTCCACGTCTGCAGGACGCTCCTGTAGAAAGGTGGCAGCTGTCCCAGTGGGAGGCCCTGCAGGTCCATGTAGAATAGTTGTTTGGAGCACTGCAGACCCCCCAGCTGTTTGAGTAGGAAGGAGGCCGTGACGCTCCAGGCTGGTGCAGGGGTGGTGGCGTGCAGGAACTTTTGTGCGGCCTGCAGTCGGAAGGTGGCCAGCTGACTCCGCACGCACACCAGCCCGTGACCGCCCTCGTCCAGTGGCAGGGCCAGGACCCCAGCCGCGACCCGGTGTCCTCTGCCCGACCAGAAGAAGTCGAGGACTCGCTTCTGAAGCGCGTTGACGAGGCTCATGGGGGGGTGCAGGGAGAAGAGTCGGTGCCACAGCATGGACGTCACCAGCTGGTTCACCACCAACGTCTTTGTCCTGAAGGTGAGGAACTTGCACAGGCGACTCCAGGTGCCCAGCCGCTCCTTCACCTTCCCCTCCAGCTCGACCCAGTTCCTTTGCGGTGGTTCCTCCTCTGGTCCCAGGAAGACCCCCAGGTGGTGCAGGGATGTCGTGCTCCAATTGATGGTTTTTGCCTTCTCCGGACACTCGGTCATGTCCCACGCTCCAACCAGCAGGCCGCTGCACTTTTGCCAGTTCATTTTGGATGAGGAGGCCTTCGAAAAGACCTCCTGACACTCGTGCAGCAGGGCGACATCATCCAGGGAACGAAGGATGAGGAGGATGTCATCGGCGTATGCCGTCAGGACCAAACTGACATTTGGTTCCCTGAGCACCAGGCCGCTGAGTCTCCGCCTTATGAGATTCAGGAAAGGCTCTAATGCCAGTGCATAAAGTTGGCCCGACAATGGGCATCCCTGCCTCACTCCTCGGTCGAATTTGACAGGGGCAGTGAGGGTGCCGTTGATCTTGATCATGCACTCCGCCTTGGTGTAGAGTAGGCGGATCGTTCGGACAAACCCATCTCCAAAACCAAAGGCCTTGAGGGTTCCCAGGAGGTATTTGTGGTCCACTCTGTCAAAAGCCTTTTCCTGGTCAAGGGCCAGAAACGCGATTGGGATGCCCAACCTCTGGGACATCGCGATGAGGTCTCTGACCAGGAAGATGCCGTCGTGGATGGATCGTCCGGGGATGGTGTAGGACTGGTCCCTGTTTACGACTTGTGCAATCACCCCTTTCAGTCGCAGGGAGAGAGCCTTCGTCAATATTTTGTAGTCGGTGTTCAGGAGGGACACCGGACGCCAGTTTTGTAGGTGCCTCAGGTCTCCGTTCTTGGGAAGCAGAGTGAGCACCGCTCTCCTCCAAGACTGAGGCATCACCCCGGTGACAGAGGCTTCCTCCAGCACCTCTCTGTAGTCCTCCCGTAGGGATGGCCAAAAAGCGGCGTAAAACTCCCCTGTTAGCCCGTCTAACCCTGGAGATTTATTTGGGGCCAGTCCTCCTACAGCTGCGTCAAGGTCATTCCTGGTGAGCTTTAGCTCCAGCAGCTCCTTCCCGTCTTCCTCCAGGGTGGGTAGACCGCTCCATGCCTCCGCCTGGGCCGCTCCCGATGTTTCTTCAGGGGAGAACAGGCTGCCGTAGAAGTCTCTGATGATGGTCGACTTCTGCTGGAGTTCGTGCGCCAGGACACTGTCACCATCAAAAAGGCACTCCATGTATTTGCGTCTCCCGTTCTGCCTCCCGAGGGAGTAGAAAAACGGGGATCCCGTGTCGAGGTCTGTGATGAGCTTCACCCGGGATCGCACAAACGCTCCCCTCGTCTGCTCCTCCTGTAGGCCTTTGAGACGCTCCCTAATCTCCTCGTATTCTCGGAGAAGAGCAGGGTCATTGTCCTCGGCGAGGCGACTCTCCAAATCGAGGACCCGGGCTTCCATGTCGGTGATGTCCGCGTTCTTCAGTCTGGTGCTCCCCCAGGTGTATTGTTGGCACAACAGCCTGGTGTGCACTTTGCCCATGTCCCACCATTGGGCCAGAGAGTCGAACTGCGTTTTGGTTTTTTTCCACTCTTCCCAGAAGTCCTCGAACATCTCTATGAAGGTGCCATCCCCCAGCAGCGAGTTGTTAAAATGCCAGTGGGACGCGCCCTCGCGGGCTCTCTCCAGCCTGACACGGAGCACGATGAGGTTGTGATCCGTGAAGGGTGCCGCCCTGATGCCAGACGTTATGGCGCACGTCACAAAGTTCTTAGAGATGTAAAATCTGTCGAGCCTGGACTGTGTCACCGAGCCATCGCGCCTCGTCCTCGTGTACGTGAACTGGCGTTGGCCAGGGTGATGTATGCGCCACACGTCCACCAAGGCGGCGTCCTCCAGTAGTCCCTGCATCTCCCTCTTCGGCCCAACTCCCCCCTGCTGCCTTCCCGAACGATCCAGGGCGCCGATTGTGCAGTTGTGGTCGCCACCCACAATCACGCACTCGTCGTCCGGGATCCCAGCCAGGTGCCTCCTCAGGAGGTGCAGGAACGGGATCTTCTCCTTGTTGTTGACCGGCGCGTACACGTTCAGTAGGTGGGTGGTGACATCGCCCACCCTGACCGTTACCGCGAGCAGCCTTCCCTTCACCACTTCGGTCTGGGTGATGAGCTCGGGATGAAACCCTTTAGCGAACAGGGTCGCGACTCCACAGGAGGTGTTGTCAAGGTGGCTGTAGAAGGAGTCCCCTCCCCACTCCTTTCTCCAGTCATCCTCGTCCTCGACCGTGAGATGCGTCTCCTGAATGAAGAAGACAGAGGCAGCGTGTTTCCTCGCAAGAGACATCGCGGAAAACCTCCGCACTGCCTCCCTGCAGCCGTTCACATTTAGGGAGGCGATGTACATAGGCATTGGTTTTTGCTTGCCTCCATGTCCTCCCACTTCCTAATTTGTCTGCGGAAATATCTCAGCTTTGCCCTCTCCTTGCCCCGGGACTTGAGTCCCTGATTGGCGAGGACTCTGTCGGCTTGAGTCACAGAGGCCTTTATTGCCTTGCTGTCCTTCCATCGAACCATGGCCATGTCCGCTCTGTCCTTCCTCAGGTTGGTGTCATCAAGGAATTTCCAGAGATCTTCCGAGGAGACCAGGCAAGTCTGAGAGTCAAGGACTGTAGACTCCTGGCTGCTGTCGCTCCCCACACTGAGGCAGTCGTCCCGATCAGAGT